GCATATATAGAAGGCAACTGATTGATGCCTCTCTCTATCTCTCTTAGCATGTCCTTGGTGTGGATACAAATAATAAATAAATAAATAAATAAATAAATAAATAAATAAATAAATGTCATCTAGTTAATTAAAACAATCAAGCATTTATATTACCTTTATATAAAAATCAAATTTAAAGTTAATAAAATAGTTATAAGGGAAAGTTTCTATTCACAGAAAATTAATGAGGAGAAAATGATAAGTTAGAAGATGAACATTTTACAAACCCTAATATAGGACTACACAAAGATTCTCATAGGGAAATGCTAAAACTATTGGATAGAAGGAAAATGGGAAACTTTTAAGTGGCGAGATTAGGTCAGCAGCATCTAAACCAATCGATATTAACATATGAAGGTGGGAGAACACAAATAAGTATGTTCTCATGTGATACAAAAGAGAGTTTCCTTATAAAATATTATTGCCAAAGATTGAACCTAATGCTAATCAAACCTCTAGATCTAATAGTCATTTATAAAAATGCAGGAAAAGAAGACAGATTTAATGATACTACAAAAACCAACCAGCAAATCTAGGACGTGGTAAATCTAAAGAAAATTGACCTACTTCCTCCAATAAATTAATGGTATTTAAAAAAAGGGGGGGAGGGCTGTGAGTAACAAGGTATAAGGGAAGCCAGGCTTCTCTAGTAGTTTAAAAGTAAATTAACAAGTGAGTGTACATGTAGCATGTTTTCTTTTTTTTGTAGTTTTTTTAAGTTGAAATAACTTATTTATTTTAAAATATGTTTTATCAATTTCTAAGTCTTCATTGTTTCAAGTATTACATTTGTATTACATATGTCTCTTTTTTCCCTATTGACCTTTCCCTTATGCACAGGTGCACCATTTCTCTCCATTAATATTAGCAGTGAATATTTTAGCAGCCAACTGCCACATCATTAGTCTTATGACTCATCTGGTGTGTGCAACAGGAAATATTTTGCTTTTAAGAACAAGTTAAATAGGCTTATTTGCGTTACACTTATTCTTTTAAAAAATATTTTTATTATTTTTTTTACAGAGAGAAAGGAAGAGGGATAGAGAGTTAGAAACATCGATGAGAGAGAAATCCTTTCAGTTGGCAAGCCGATGCTCTATCCACTGAGACAAACCAGTTTCAGTGTGTTACACTTATTAATGTGTGTAGTTATTCAGTGTCTGGTAAGTTAATGTTCAAGAAAAATATTAATTTTTATTAAAATGTTCTATTATTTTATGTTAATGATTACTCATTTATTTCAGCCCTTTGAATTCAGCATAACTCTATTGAAATAAATCTACATTTCTATGAAAATTGAAGCTTTTGTTTTTTGTGTGGTCCACATAAACTTCAACCTTGTTTATTTGGCCCATGTTAGCCTTTGAGTTTGACATGCTTGCTCTAAATGATACTCTGGATTACCTGATTCTAATTCTAACTAGGCTATTTCACAAGGTAAAATTATAGGTGATTGAAAGCAATAGCAAATAATTCATGTCAAGGGGCATGCAAAATCTGTCCTACCTGGTGAAGTTTCAACTGACCTCCCTCTCTCCCTGCAGCGGTTACATACTTTTGCCACCATTTGCACATTTATTTCAACATCCTTTATCCCATATAAATGTGTGCTGTTTTGATTTCTTCTTTGACTCTCTTGTGACCTCCTTCTGGTTCCTTGCTTGTAAGTGAAATAAAGTCTTTAACACATGTTCATTTTGATATCTGTATGTGCCCTAATTTTACCCCTTTTTAAATGTTATCTCTTAACAATAATAATTAGTATTTACATCTTTCTTGTAAAGCTGAAAGTAAACTAATTGTTATACCTCTAAGTTTATTATCTACTAATGATGAATTGTTAAACAACTTCAGCATAAATTGCAGATTAGTTGCGCAAATATGACCTACCTTTTCCTCCCATCCATGTTTTTGTTTCTTCATACCAATAGTTCCAGAAGCCCCTATGGAATTTTTGCAGTAGAAGCCTGGAAGCCCTGGCGGTGAGCATGAGAGATCACCAAGATAAAACATGACCATAGCAACCTTGAGTGACATCTCCTGAAAACTTAAGCCAGAATTCTAAAAATGTTATACACGTAGAATCAAGGTACCTTGTTGAAACACACAGGCATGGTCTGCATAATCTCACAAAACGTGACGCACTCTTTTCTCCTGTGCCATTGACGGCAGACATTGGAATGGCTTCACATTTTTGTTACAGACATCTTGCCACCTCCTGCGAATTTAGAAGCCATCTCTCATGGCCTTCTGGGCTCCATCTTGGTTTCATTTCCACTCAGTTCAGTGGCAATTAACTCAACCAATTAGTAAACACTCTTTTGTGTTTATAAGAGTTTCACAAATGCAGACATAACGTATAGCTCACTATCCACATACAGCTCACTATCGTAAAAGGATATCATAACTGATATTATAGCTATGTCAATGATCTCTCACTAAACCTTCTGTCCAATTTCAAAAAATCAGATGCCAATTGTTAAGGACAAGTAGAAGAATGTGATGAAAAATAAATTGAAAGAGAAGGAAATAGGCTACATGTAATATTTATCTTTCTCCAATTGGCTTGTTTTGCTTAGCATAATGCTCTCCATGTCCACCCATGCTGTTGCGAATGGTAAGAGTTCTTTCTCTTTTATAGCAGTGTAGCATTCCATTGTGTAGATGTACCAAAGTTTTTGAATCCATTCATCTGCTGATGGGCACTTAGGCTGTTTCCAAATCTTAGCTATGGTAAACTGTGTTGCTATGAGCATAGGGGTGCATATGTCCTTTCTAATTAGTGTTTCTGGTTTTATGATCTCTCTCATTTGTGGAATATAATGAACAACATAAACTGATGCACAAAAATAGAACCAGAAACAGAAAAGCATCGAACAGACTGTCAAAGTCAAACTTTAGAGTAAAGGTGGTGGTGGTGGGGAGTGGGGGGGTGAGTAAGAGATCAACCAAAGGACTTGCATGCATGCATATAAGCATAACCAATGGACACAGACTCTAGGGGGGTGAGGGCATGCGCTGGGGAGTGGGGGTGGCTGGGGAGAGGTCAATGGGGGGAAAAGGAGACATATGTAATACAAATGTAATACTTCAAACAATAAAGACTTAAGAAATGATAAAAACATTTTAAAATAAATAAGGTATTATTTCAACTTAAAAAAAAAACTATTAAAAAAGAAAACATGCTAGACGTACACTCACTAGTTAATTTACTTTTAAACACGTTAAACTCTAGAGAAGCTTGGCTTCCCTTATACCTTGAATTACAGCTCCAAGTAAGGCTTTACATGAGCTATTCCTTTTGACTAGCACTTTCTTCCTGCTCTCAGTCCCCCTCTCTCTCTCCTGGCCAGCGTTCCCAATGCACCCACTAAGGCCAAGCAAATGTCTTCTTCTCTCCAGAAGCCTTCCAGATGCCCGAAGCAGAATCAGGCCGTTTTCCTCTGGCTCTCCCGGCACTCTCTCCACACCTCCTTCAGAATAGTTGTACCCCAAAAGCTTTCCAGCTCACTCTAAGTAAAGACCAAAGCTCTCTCCCTTGCTTGCAATAAATAGCTTTCTCATTGGGTTCTGATGATGTTTTCTCCTGGCATCCCAGCTCCCTCAGAATGGAAGTCAAAGCCTGTGGCCCTGCTACCCGGGGCCAGCTTCTTCCCCTCCTGCAGGTGTGTGTTCAACCCTCCCTGTCCGTGCTGTCCTCCTGCCTTGCTTACATTTCTCCATTTCCTTTATCGCTATCTCTCAGACCATAGCTTTATTATTTACCTGTTTATGGTCTCTCTCCCTCTACAAGAACGGGAACTCCCTGATGCTGAGGACTTTTGTCTGTTTTGCTCGCAGGTGTCCCCTCAGGACCTGGGACAAGGTCTGGACACAGTAGTCGCTCAATAACTACTGTTTTAATGAATGAAATGGAAGCCTCTCTCACCAGCCTCTGAGTTTCTGAAAGGCAAACATTTGGTTTTGTTTGGGCAAGTCCAGCATTTTCCTGTCATGTGCTATATATTCCATAAAAATGAGTCTCATGGATTCCCTCTTGGGGAGACAGGCCAGTTAGTTCTAGGATAGCTGCCATAGATAGGTCAAGAAACGGCCAGTTTAACGACCTTTTTGGTTTGTCCATCATTGCCTTGCTTCATCTGAGATAAGGACATTGGACCTGTCCATTGAAAATGGGGGTGGCCCTTGCTAGTCATTTATACAGGAGTAGGCAAACGTAGGTTTACGGCTGTAATACAAATAAATTGCATGATAATAATTAATAATTAATAATACAAGAATAAACTGTTTCAAGTACTCACAACCGTAAGCCTATTTTTGCCCACCGTTGTCTGTGTAAGTAGCTAACTGGGTGAAGGCCAAGAGCTGAGAAGGCTTGCCTGGATTGGGAAGGAAGGGAGGGGATGTGGGTCTGTGAGCGTGGCATCCTTACAGTTAGGGGCTGAGAGTCAGCTTGGAGCCTCCATGACAGGAGGGCTCAGTAGTGAGTCTCCTGCAGTGCATTAAATGATTGCTAAAGGAGAAGGGAAAGAGAGGGAGAGAGAGAGAGAGAGAGAGAGAGAGAGAGAGAGAGAGAGAGAGAGAGAGAGAGAGAGAGAGAGAGAGAGAGAGAGGGAGAGAGAGAGAGAGAGAGACGGAAAGAGAGAGAGAGAGAGAGAAAGGGAGAGAGATTTATCTGAAACATCCCAATTAACGTAGGCAAACCAACTTTTTGACATCTCCCTTTGGCATGGACCACCAGTGACACCGCAGCTGCCTGTGGGATTGACTACCAACAGCACCTGTGGGGACACCACGTGGTTCCCTCCCTCCGGGCGGCAGCGCGGGGCCGCGGGGCGGGCGGAGGGCGGGTGGGCGTGCGCTGGGCAGAGGCCACCGGGGGAGGGGCCGGAGGGAGGCGCTCCGTCCGGGCTTTTCCCGGTCGCCGGGGCCACCGGGCCGCAGCAGCGGAGGAGGCGGGCATGGCAGAGGCGCGGCCGGGGCCACCGACGGGGCTGCAGCTGAGCGCGCTGCCAGACCCGTCGCCGCTGCTGCAGCCCAGCCTGGCCGAGCTGCGGCGCCGGCTGCGGGCGCTGGGCCCGGTGCCCACGCCGCCGCCGCCCACCGACCCCTTCCTGCTGCGCTTCCTGCGCGCCCGGGACTTCGACCTGGACCAAGCCTGGCGGGTAAGGGTGCCTCCCGCTGCGCCCCAGCCTGCGGGCCGGCCGGGGCGCCCTGGGGCGCCGGGGTAGGATTGGGGGGGTGCTGCCCTGACCCCCGCCAAAGCCGAGGCCAGGAGCAGGACCCCGGGGGGAGCTCGCCCCAGGTGCACTGGGCGCCGGGCTGCTGCTCTGATTCATCCAGCCCTCGTCCCTTCAGTTTCCCTGCGTCTCCGACACGGAAAATGCAGGCAAAGCTGGAGCCCTTCCCGGGGACGGCCCAAGTGACCCCAAACACGGAAACTTTGTCCTGGATGAGTCTCCTGAACATAAAGTTTGGGGAGAAACGCCTTTTCTTTTCCCTGGCAGAAAGCTAGTGATTTAAAACAAAATCCAGCCGAGAGGAAGGAAGCCTGGATTTTATTGCAGTTCAGCAAGTAACTCCACCTGTGGAGGGGAGGATGCAATCGCGAGGAAGACAGAAGAAGGTCTACAGCCAAGTTCGAGCGAAAGTGTAGGATGGATAGTAATCTGTGAGTGTCAAGACGCTAAGGCAGCCCAGTGTATGAGGTCCCGGGTTCGATTCGGGTCAAGGACATGTACCTTGGTTGCGGGCACATCCCCAGTAAGGGATGTGCAGGAGGCAGCTGATCGATGTTTCTCTCTCATCGAAGTTTCTAGATCTCTATCCCTCTCCCTTCCTCTCTGTAAAAAAAAAATCAATAAAATATATATATTTTTTTAAAAAAAGAAGAAGAGCCGAAACCGGTTTGGCTCAGTGGTAGAGCGTCCGTCTGTGGACTGAAAGGTCCCAGGTTCGATTCCGGTCAAGGGCATGTACCCGAGTTGCGGGCACATCCCCAGTAGGGGATGTGCAAGAGGCAGCTGGTCGATGTTTCTCTCTCATCGACGTTTCTAGCTCTCTATCTCTCTCCCTTCCTCTCTGTAAAAAATCAATAAAATATATTTTTTAAAAAATAAAAAAATAATAAAATAAAAAAAGAAGAAGAATGAATGAATGAATGAATGAGGGATGAGCTGGGAGGTGTGGGTCAGTGGTTGAGCGTGGACCTATGAACCAGGGGGTCCTGGTTCTATTGCCCGGGTTGCGGGTTCCATCCCCAGTGTGTGTGTGTGTGTGTGTGTGTGTGTGTGTGTGTATACAAGAGGCAGCTGAAAGATGGTTCTCTGACATCATCGATGTTTCTCTCTCTCTTCCTTTCTGAAATTAATAAAAAATAAAATGCAATGAAAGAGAATGAGAGATGAGGCTGTTCGTTTGTGTTTCCAGGTGTGTTACCGCTGGTGGTTGGAAACAGGGTGTGCTGGGAAGACAGGAATCAGGAGGGAAGCGACCTTTAGTTCTGGTACTTTGGGCTCAGCATCCTCATCTCGTGACAATGCCTCCCTCACTGACTCCTGTCCCAGGCTGACCACGAACCAATGTGACAGGAGGAGAGGTGCCCAGCACAGAGCTTGGCAAAGAGTGAGCACTGAGCGCAGGAACCTGATCTCAACCTTTGTCCGGGTGGCTTGCTCGGTGTCATGCTGCCATGACTTGAAAGGCAGGGGAAGTAAAAGAGTATAGGATCCCGGCGTGTCTCTGCATGAGGGTTTTCGGTTGTTAACTAATTTTTAATTGAGAGATCAGATTTTACTGGTGGTACAAAGAATCCATAACTACTAAAGAATACAAAGCAAGTTTCTAAAAGTAACTTTCTAAAGGAAAAACTTTCCCCATCCCAATCCTCAGTTTGCCAAACCATCAACCCAGAGACAGTTACCTGTGTCTTATTTCTCTTGCCAGGTAGTCTACCTTCACACAAGCAAATGTACATATTTTATATTTTGACCTTTTAAAAAACCTAATTTCGCCGAAACCGGTTTGTCTCAGTGGATAGAGCATCGGCCTGTGGTTCGATTCAGGTCAAGGGAATGTACCTTAGTTTTGGGCACATCCCCAGTAGGAGGTATGCAGGAGGCAGCCAATGGGTGTTTCTCTCTCATTGATGTTTCTAGCTCACTATCTCTCTTCCTTCCTCTCTGTAAAAAATCAATAAAATACATATTTTTAAAAACCTAATTTCTCAGAGATCATCATATTCCAGCATGTATACACAAACCATATTCTTTTGTAAAAATAAATATGTTTTTTATTGATTTGAGAGAGAGGGAGGAAGGGAGAAATATTGATGTGAGAGAGAAACATGAATAGGCTGCCTCCTGTATGCCTTCTACTGGGGTCTGAGCCCATAACCCAGGCATGTGCTCTGACTGGGAATGGAACCAGCAGCTTTTTGGTGCATGGGACAGTGCTCAACCAACTGAGCCGTACCAGCCAGAGTCATCTATGTTATGCTTTTGTGGACTTTTGCTGTTCCTTGTGTGACTAGATTATGCTGACTTCTTGAGCAGTCCCTGTCGTTGCGCGTGGACTTGTTGTCAAGACAAGGGCACTGCTGCCGTACGCACCCTTCACTCCCCATTCAATGATTATTTTTTGAACTCCTACAGTTTGCCTGGCAATATACAAAACGCAGTAAGCGAGACCCATGGGGTGTCTTCCATCAATCACTGGATATTCTAGTCTGTCTTTGTGCACTTGTCTTTAGGAATCCGTTCTTATAGGACAAGTTCAACCTGGGGAATTGCCCAGTGACGGGAGATGTGTATCTTTAGGGTTGAGAAATATAACGAGGCCCTCCAAAGTGTTGGCCCTAATTTTGTCAATTCCATATTGCATAATGATGCTTTTCTCTGCCAGTGATCTCCCAGGTGGTATTAGCCAACAACCTGCTAGGTGAGAAACTGGTTCTCATTATCGTCACACGCATGCACGCAATTACAAGCGAGGTTAATCAGCTTTCATATATTTAACATTTTAACATTCTTTTCTCAGTAACTGCTTGTTTTGCTTCTTGTTTATTTTCTCCCATTTGTTTACATAGAATATAACATACATACCATGTAAATTTATTCCTAAAATATCTTTATGTATTAAAGGAAATACATAAAGATTCATTGTCTTCTGACTTTGGTAATGCTGTTTTCTTTCTGTGCAGGATTTTATGTTTGTTTCATATATATATATATATATATTTTTTTTTTTTTTAAATTGATTTCTTACAGAGAGGAAGGGAGAGGGACAGAGAGCCAGAATCGTTGATGAGAGAGAAACATCGACCAGCTGCCTCTTGCACACACCCTCTACTGGGGATGTGCCCACAACCAAGGTACATGCCCTTGACAGGAATCGAACCTGGGACCCTTCAGTCCACAGACCGACGCTCTACCACTGAGCCAAACCGGTTTCGGCGGATTTTACGTTTTTATGAAACAAATGTGATTGTTCTCTGATTGCTCCTGGGTTTTATAAGCCCTTCTTTCCCCCCAACGTTTTCTTTAGTAATTTATGACTTCTCTTTTTGATGTTGGAGTCGTTGCTCTACTAGGATTTCTTTAATGTTAGGAATCAACTAAGAATCTGGCTTTATTTTTATTTTGTCAGATGCCTTCCCAGCTGTCCCAGCGTCATGAGTACAAACTAATATTTACTCATATGCTAAATATAATGACACAACCTCAGGTCCTAGGGAGAATGCAGTTTAACTGAGGCATTAAACATATATATGTTGTAGCGGCAACTAACCATAAAAAGTGTATGAGTTGTTGATTTCATTTTGTTTGCTTTTTAAAAGTAATGTTTATAGATATAGACAACAGAAGGGTGGCTACTAGAGGGGAAGAGTGTGTGTGTGTGTATGTGTGTGTGTGTAAGTGTGTGTGGTGGGGGGAGGGAGGTAGACAGACGAGGATAAAGGGATCAAATATATGGAGACAGAGGGAGACTAGACTTTGGGTGGTCTCTACACTTATAGGACTCTACACTTGAAATGGATTTAATTATAGGACTCTACACTTGAAATGGATTTAATATTATTAACCAATGTCACCCCAATACATTTTATAAATAAAAAAGAAAAAAAACACAGAAAAAATAAAGCTTACCCCCCAGCCTTAGTGTTATTTATATACTTTCCTATGATCTCTATGTTCCTGAATCGTTTTCATTGCACCATGTCCTTGAGGAATTTGCTAGCAAGACTGTGTCTTAACCTACTGAACTGGCATCAAGTTACTGTCTGTGAACTCTGTGTCCTACTTTTCTGCCAACTGGAAACGAAGGGGAAAAGTTTAGAGCACGAAACTATTTATTTCCTTTACAAAGACAGTCAATTCAACTTGAATTGAATTGACTTATTTATAATATAAAAGCCTCTATAGTTTTTGTTTTGTTTTATTTTTGTTGTTGTTTTTGTATGAAGAAAGCTCACTAAATCCCTCAGTTGTAATGAAATTTCTCATTTTTCTAGTTTTTGTATTTGAAATGATAATGAATTCATGGGGTTTTAGAATCTTATTTGCTTTTAGAGTGCCAGGTCCTTTATAAGTAGTGTTTGTGATGGTTATGTCACTATTTTCTCATTTTAGAAGAAGCTGAGATGTAAAGAGGTAAGTGACTTGCCTGAAATCACAGTTATTAAATGGTAGAGCAAGAATTTGAAGTTGGATTAAACTCAGGGGAGCCCGTGCTCTTGAGTACACTACACTTGTCCTGTCTAAAACAATGGACATAAAAATAGCCAACTCTTAACCTCTGTCTGTTCTACATATTCCTGTGAATTCCTCGTTCACAAGTAAATAATCCAGTTCCATATATTTATGCCCCATGCGATATGTTTTTTTAAACATATTTTATTGATTTTTTACAGAGAGGAAGGGAGAGGGATAGAGAGCTAGAAACATCAACCAGCTGCCTCCTGAACACCCCCTACTAGAGATGTGCCCGCAACCAATGTACATGCCCTTGACCAGAATCAAACCTGGGACCTTCCAGTCTGCAGACCAACGCTCTTCCACTGAGCCAAACCAGTTTCGGCAAGTTTTTTATCCTGTAGTTATTGTTATGGTTTTCCCAAAGGCTTTTAAACCCTAGATACAGTATATACTAGTATTTTCAAAGTACCATTGACTCTCCCTGTTAATTTCCCACTCAGTGTAGCTTCTTTTGCAGACTTTATCATATTGTGTCAGTTTCAATCTCCATCCTGCTCCTGTAGTTATTGTCTTTAAACACATATGTAACTTCTTTGAGCTTTAGTCTCATTCATTCATTCATTAATTCATTCATTTTTGAGAGAGAAGAGAGAGAGAGAGGAAGAGGAGAGAGGGGGGACAGAGAAAGAGAGAGAGAGAGAGAGAGAGAGAGAGAGAGAGAGAGAGAGAGAGAGAGAGAAACTGATTGGTTGCCTCCCATCCACCCCTGAGAATGGAGATGGAATCTGAAATCTAGGTATGTGCCCTGCCTGGGAATGAACCTGCAATCTTTTTAGTGTATGGAACTATACTCCTGAGCCATCTGGCTGAGATTGAGTTTAGTAAGTCTTTTTATCCATAAAATGGGTAAACCTCTCAGGTTGGTGGTGAGGAGAGATCAAAATGATGCTATTAAAGACTGTGACAGCTGCACAGATATGGTCGTTGTTTTGTTCAAAAGCACATGGAAATATAAGAAGGAAGGTACTCTATTATAAGGCATAGTTAAAACAAACCAAAACTTTTTATATGTATTTATTCCTAATTGTGGTACAAAACAGGTGCCTTCCCATCCAGATATTCACTTGCACCCAATTTTTTTGTTGTGAACTTTAGGTGGCTTGTCTGAGAATTGCTCAGTAGTATTTTGTCATGTACATAATTTCTTTATGTCAGCTGGACCTTAGAATTTATTTCGCAGTGGAAAAGTAATAATCAGTGATCCAGGTTTAAATATTTCAGTTTGTGAAAGTTGAATGTCAAAGGCATGAGAGTTAATTGTGTGTCTTTACAAAAATCATTTTTTTCAAGTGTGTGTTCCAGCTGGTTTACTCATGCAGTATAGTCGCCCCCTGCCCCATCTCCCCCTTATGCTTGGGAGAATACTTTCAAAGACCTCAGTGGATGCCTAAAATCATGAGTATCACCAAACCCTAGATACAGAATATACTAGTATTTTTCCTATACATACATAACTATGATAAAGTATAATTTATAAATGAGACAAAGTAAGAGAGTAACAAAAATAACTAACAATAAAATGGAAGAAGTATAACAATATACTGTAATTAAAGTTATACGAACGGCTTTGGGACCATTAATGAGTAAAATAAGGATTACCTGGGAGATTCTGCCTCTGTTCCCAGGAAGATCTCTTTCAATGAAATCACAATGGAGGAGGAAAAGGAATTCACCTTATAGACTAGAATGAATATGTGAGGATCTACAATGTGCCTTTTGTTCCTACTGCTTTTGGAAACTGCTATTTAGGTCACCAATTATTTCTTGGTTGGCAAATTTACTGACTTTTCCCCTTTCTTACCTCTTTGTTGCATTTAACTCTTAGAAGCATCCTCTTTTATAAAGCAATTAAGAAAAGTTTATTGCAAATATACATGAAAGAGGAGGAAAAGAGAAAGAAAAAATGATAGGGTGACAATAATTGGAAAGAGGGAGGGAGGAAGGAAGGGAGAGAGAGAGAATGAGAAACAACACAGATGGCTTTTTCCTCCCCTGAGCACCATATTGGTGTTTCTCCTACAATACAACCAGATTCTCTCTTCCTCTTCCAGCCATCCCCAGCCATTGGCATAACCCATGGCTCAGAATTCTACCCTCTACTTGGTTCTTAAAATTTATATTTGTAGTTTCTTCTCTAGACAATTACTACTTTGTAGTTACAGTTATGTTTATTCCAATGACTCGCAAATATAAAATGTGTCCTTCCATTTCATCTGAACTTTAGTTCTACATTGCTAATAGATCTCTTTAAATTCAAATGTATTGTAATTTTAGGAAAATTGAGACTGCTGAAAATCACAAAGAAGAAAATGTAACTATAGTAAGTTTTAAATGTGTAATTTGATTTTAATATTCTCCACAATATGCTGGCAGTGTTTTTATTATTTGTAAATGTGGAGTAACCAGTATTGGTGGTTCTTTTGATAAAAGAAAATGAGATTCCTTCAAACCATATTTTGTCAAGGCCTAATCTCCAGGCATACCAGTCTCTCTGAATGCATACCACTGTTAACAAAATCCATTTTTCTTGTTTTTCTATTTGTAGGAAGTAGAGAAGTAGTATAGATGTTTCTTTGTTTAATTGATTTAGCTCTTTTTGTAGGAAAGAAAACAAAAACAAAAACATTCCAGTCACCTTTAATGTAAACCTGCACTAAATAGTTATATGAGCCAATTAACCCAAATGATCTTCCCTATTATGACAATACTAACCGGTCTTCATTATGCCCATGTTTACTTTACACTTAACTCTAGAAGGCAGAGCTTGAGAAGATCACATAGGTAATAAGTGGTGATGCTAAGGTTTTTCTGAGGAGGCAGCCTGGGAACTGAACTTTTTACTACATAGCATGGCCTGTGTGTGCCAGTCTTGTCACCAATATGTCACCTCTCATGAAATTAGAGATCTACTCTGGTCACTGCTTTAACTCAAGTGCCTAACACAGTGTGTGGAACATTGTACATCTTCCAAACATATTTGTGGAGTTAATCCATTAGATTGATTTCCATTCTTTACTTCAGAAAGACCAAAGACTAGTCGCCTATTGGCAAATAACAAATCACCCCAAAATTTAGTGGCATAAAGCACAGCTATTGTTTGTTTGTGGTTCCCCTATTTGGGCAGAGCTGAGTGGCGCTGCTCTTCTCTGCATTGCATCAGATGAGACCTTGGCTGAGGTCAGACCAGCTAAGTTATGTGGTCTCTTGTCCCCCAGGGCTTCTCTGCATGGACTTGCGTTTCATAATCTTACATGGTGACTGGATTCTGAAAAGCAAAACAGGAAGTCCCAGGTTTCTTAAAGCCTATCACGGTGTCACTTCTGCCAAGTTCTATTGATCAAAGCAAGATATAAGGCCAGCCTAGGTCCAAGTGGAAGGAATCAAATAGATAACTTATCTTGATGACATGTGCGCAGTGGTGTGTGTGTGTTGAGGTTGGGGGGAGGGTCAGGCATTTATCTTTGGAGACTATCCACCAAAGGAGACAAATAAGAATTACTCAACTTTGAATTTGTGATTACCTCCTATCACCTGAGATCCTTGATGAATGAATCATTTAGTTTATCTGCTAGAAGGATACCCTAGATTAAAATCCTGACATGATGGATGGCAAAGACCATACATAATGCCAAGGCTTTCCTGCCAGTTTTACGAAATGCTTACCATGTGCACTATCTGTAGACAATCTCTATTTTGTTTTTCAGTTACTAAAAAACTATTACAAGTGGAGAGCAGAATGTCCTGAAATAAGCGCAGATCTCCACCCCAGAAGTATTCTTGGCCTTCTGAGGGCTGGCTACATTGGAGTCCTGAGAGACAGAGACCCCACCGGCAGCAAAGTTCTCATTTACAGAATCGGTAAGTAAGACAAAGCACTACTGTTTGCCTTTTCTTCACTGCCATTCAGAAGGCTTCAATGAGTCCATGTTTAAACATTTAGGTGTTTAGGTTTTAACTTAGGTGTATTTTATATTTTACTTAGAGACCCAGTGAACATCATGTGCACTTTCATGGGGCGGGGGGAGGAGGAGGAAGGGGAGGTGGCACTTAGCACAGCCTGCACCATCTCGCAGTCTGGGACCCCTCAAGAGATGTCCACCTGCCTGAAACTTTTACATCTTTACATTTTAAAATATTTTAGGGGACTTTAAAATATGTATAGATTCAGCACTCCCCCTGTGGGAGCGTGCTGACCACCAGGGGGCAGCTCCTGTGCTGAGCATCTGCCCAATAGTGGTCAGTGCACATCATAGCGACTGGTCGTTTTGCTGTTCAGTTGATTTGCATATTAGGGTTTTGTTATATAGGATGTCCCCTGAATATAAAAAAAAAAAAAAAAAAAAAACACAAAAAAACTGGCAGTTGTGAGAAAATTAACAAAACCCAGTGAAAATCCTACTCCCATTTTCCCACAGTCAAATGTATAAAATATGAGGAAAAGAAAACAGAAAAGGGAAGTTGAGGGGAGGATGAAAAAGATCAAGGGAAAGTGTTGTAAAAACACTTAGCAGGAAATACAAATAAGAGCTCTGAACTATGATAATGTTCTGGTCACTGAACCAGGGCACCTGGTAGGTGCTGATGAAATATTTTGGAGTGAGTGAATGAGTAGTTGGACAGAGCTCAGGCTGCGAGCAAGGTGCTCATTGCCCTGGATGGAGAAAGTGCTGTGGGAAAGCAGGAATCGGGAAGTGCTGAAGACACGATTCTACATGCCTGCTTTTCACCGCTTCCCATTTTTTGCCATTAAGTCTTCCTAGTATTTCTTGTAGGTTGGTAACTGATAACTTCTGCACCTTCTTTACACCTGCATGGGATCAAAAATGGCCTTTAAGGAAGAAGGACACATACACCTGCAGCCTGCTGTCATGGCCCAACATTTTATGTGTTTTTGTAAATTTGTTTGTTTTTATTGATTTTAAAGAGAAAGGAAGGGAGAGGGAAGAGAGACAAACATTGATCAGTTGCTTCTCATACACATCCAGCCTGGGAATCAAACTTGAAACCTGGGTATGTGCCCTGACCTGAATCAAACCTGAGACCTTTTGGTATAAGGGAATATGCTCCAACCAGCTGAGCCACACTGGCCAGGGCATAGCCCAATATTTCATGAGCAGAATCTTATGAATTATAATCTTTTAGGATCTTTTACATCTTTAAATATTTTAGGGGACTTTACAATATATATAGATTTGTAGATAAGATGGCTACCTGTAATTCAACTGTTTGCTTTCTTGCAAGAAGTCCTTGCATTTAATTATTGAAAGGGTGTCAGAAAATTGAGTAGAATGATTCGGGATATATATATATATCAATTCTACTCAATATATATATCTGGGGTTAGTCATGAATTCATTGTCTGTAAATTGGACACCTGTTTATAGACAATAATAGACAATTCTGTCTAAATCAGTGGTTCTCAACCTTCCTAATGCCAAGACCCTTTAATACAGGTCCTCATGTTGTGGTGACCCCCAACCATAAAATTATTTTTGTTGCTATTTCATAACTGTAATTTTGCTACTGTTAATAATTGTAATGTAAAGATCTGTGTTTCCCAATGGTCTTAGGCTCTACAGCAGCGGTTCTCAACCGCTATTGGGTCACGGCTATTGGAAAACACAGATCTTTACATTATGATTCATTAACAGTAGCAAAATTACAGTTATGAAGTAGCAACGAAAATAATTTTATTTCACCACACGAGGAACTGTATTAAAGAGTCGCAGCATTAGAAAGGTTGAGAACCACTGGAATTGCTTCCATGGTGTTACGGGATGTTGAATGAAGTTCTTTGAATTCCTTGGGGTAGGGCTGCCAGATTTAGCATAGCACCTATGTTTTATCTGGCAAGTAAACCCATGTTTAATTGATCTGGCAATCCTGCCCAGGCATTCCAAGAACCTAAAAGCTACAGATGATTCGCTCTGCAAGTATCCTGGCTCTGCACTGCCTGCCTGGAGGTTTTTCTAGTTTGTTCACATACTAATGGGGCAACTTAAGTAGTGAAATGACACCTTACTAGTGAAAAGGCAAATATGCTACTTACATCATAGACACCTCAGCACTGAGTCAAGTCTTTTATTGTTTAGCGAGGGCCTCTTGTAGTATAGTCATTAACTCCAAGCGATTTTAAAATCAAGAAAGACATGCAGGTTTGCTGGTGGTCAGAGCAGGGTGTGCGGCCTATGTCCTGTGTGTTTTTTAGAATAACATGTTGTTCTAGGCCAATGGTCAGCAAACTCATTAGTCAACGGAGCCAAATATCAACAGGACAATGATTGGAATTTCTTTTGAGAGCCAAATTTTTTAAACTTAAACTTCTTCTAACGCTACTTCTTCAAAATAGACTTGCCTAGGCCGTGGTATTTTGTGGAAGAGCCACACTCAAGGGGCCAAAGGGCCGCATGTGGCTTGCGAGCTATAGTTTGCCGACCACGGTTCTAGGGGAAGGGGGCTACTGGGGGAAAGATGGGGCCATCTGTAAGACTTTTAACAATAAAGATAAATTTAAAAAAGGAAAATAAAGATAAAAAAGATACTTATAAATTTTCTAATTTTAATTGAATGAATGGGAAGAACCAGAAAAGGAAATATGTCTTAGAGCTCTTTGATAGAACATGAGTTTACCCACATTCCTAGGTACTACCTCTGCGCAGTAAAAGCAGTGAAAAATGCACAGAACCTTCCCTCAGTCTGGCAGGGCACCCCAAACGTATGTTTTTGACATTATTAGCATCCAAGCCAGCAGATATACAGTTGACCCCCAAACAACATGGGTTTGATCTATGTGAGGCCACTTAAACACAGATTTATTTCAATAAGTATGCACAGTACTGTAAATGTGTTCTCTCTTCCTTATGATTTTCTTAACAGCATTTTCTTTCCTCTAGATTAGTTTGTAAGAACACAGTATATAATACCGGTAACATACAAAATATGTGTTGATTGATTGTTTATATTATTGGTAAAGTTTCAGGTCAGTAGCAGGCTGTTAGTAGTTAAATTTTGGGGAAGTGAAAAGTTATACTCAGATGTTTAGTACCTGGGAGGTCAGTACCCTAGCCCCTGCATTGTCTAAGGGTTGACTGAAACCCTAAGGCTTTTGAGACTCACTACTATACTAAAGCAGCAAAAAATAAAATTTAATTTTGGATATTAAGTTTTGACTCTGGCTTAATTCTTAGGAAGGCAGGTTCTTGGGAATACATTGCCTGACTGGAATCTTAACTCTGCTGTGTTCTAGCTACATGGAGAGCTGTGTAGCTGTCACTCTGTTTTCCCATCTGTCAATGGGCATAGTAAAAACCTATCTCATAGGATTAGTGTGACCACTGAATCTTGTAATCTATATAAAACATAATTAAAACATTACCTGGTACCTACTAGCCACTCAATAAATGTTAGATGCATGTCAGAGAAGGAATTAAAAATTTAAGGCACGTTTTTCTTTTGCCTTAAAGGTGATTGAAGTCCATAACCATCTAATGTAATTTTCTATGATGATGAAATTGTTCTACAGTAGCCACTAGTCACAGGTGGCTGTTAAGTACTTGAAATGTGGCTATTACAACATAGTGGGTGCATATATGTGTATTTTTAAAATTTACTTTAATTAATTAAACTCATTGGCCAACATGAATATATAGGTTTTGGTGTGGGTTTCTATATGCATATATAGTCTTTAAGATTACCTGCTAGCCTGTCCATTACTGTCCTTTCTGCATGCCGTGGCCTGCTCCAGGAACGGTAGAGGAGGAGAGAGAAGAATGACACTGACTCCTCTTCTCCGCACAGGCATTCCTGTTTTTCCTGGGTGTGGGCAGCTATGTGGGTGCTTCCCTGTTTTCCAAAGCCCACAATTACTGGTCTGGCCTGTCAGGACCTGTCTCTGCTACATGCTGGTTGTCACTCAGTGATGTCAGAGACAGCAGTCAACCTGTCTAAGTCCTCAGGCATTTTCTGTTGCAACCTCTCTGGTTACTACAGAGCACTAGTTTCTCTTCATGATCCAGGCTGTGCTTCTCCCATTTCCAATACCTCTGAGCTTGGAGCACAGCAGGAGGCTTTCTCATCTTTAGCTACATCTGCTTCCTGCATGCTCTGGGCTATAGTTTCACCAGGCTGTCAAATCCAGCCTGCTGGATGATTCTTCTTCTTCTTCTTCTTCTTCTTCTTCTTCTTCTTCTTCTTCATAAATGCCATGAGTTTTTTTTAAATATGTTTTTAAAAATATATTTTTAAAAATATATTTTTTTATTGATTTCAGAGAGGAAGGGAGAAGGATAGAGAGATAGAAACATCAATTATGAAAGGGAATCATGGGTCGGCTGCCTCGTACACGCCCTCTACTGGGGACTGAGCCAGCAACCCAGGCATGTGCCCTGACCGGGAATCTAACAGTGATCTGGTTCATAGGTCAACGCTCAACCATTGAGCCACACCTGGCGGGCTGTATTTATTCTTTTTTTATTTTTGTCCCATAAACACCTGTTATAATTGTCTGATTGAGGAACTTCAGAGGGAAGGTAGGGAAGGGTGGGGTAAGGAGGAGAGATCAACCAAAGAACTTGTATGCATGCATATAAGCCTTACCAATGGACACAGTCAACAGGGGAGTGAGGGCATGAGTGGGGGGGGGGTGTGAAGGGGGGAATGGGGGAATAAAATAAATAAATAAATAAATAAATAAATAAATAAAAATAAAATAAAATAAAATAAAATAAATACAAACCTGTTCTGTGTTAGGGAGAAGCAGGCACATGTTTTTGGCCACCCATTTGGACTATTATTCACTTCATGATCTTTGTACATGTTTTTATTTTTATTGATCCATTAAGTCTAAAAAGAATCAGTTTCCCTTTGCTTTCTGTTTTTTTATGGACTACTGAGATATGTTATTTTTTTATTTCTATTTTTTAGCCTACTGGGACCCAAAAGTGTTTACAGCTTATGATGTATTCCGTGTAAGTCTAATCACCTCCGAGCTTCTTGTACAGGATGTGGAGACCCAGCGGAATGGAATCAAGGCTGTCTTTGATCTGGAAGGCTGGCATTTTTCTCATGCTTTTCAAATCACACCATCTGTAGCCAAGAAGATCGCTGCTGTCCTTACAGTAAGTGTCTAGTTTCATTCCTTGGGATAATACTGCCAAACAATATATTTTAATTTAGTCAGATGTGACACAAAGAGAAGGGATAGAATGTTTATTAGAAAATCAAGTCAAATTTTAGAAATGATTCATGCTAAGAGGAAATGCTATTCATAAAAGAATGCTGCAAAAAATTGTGGAAATATGGTCAAGATTAGTAACCACAGAATTTATACATTTAAACAATCATGTATTCACTTCATCGTTCTGTCATTAAAATTATCTTCTTAAATTAAAAAATTGAATGAAAAAGTATATTTATAGCAATGGCACACCAAAATGTCACAAAAGTTTTGGTAGGTATAAATTGATACAGTTCTTTTTGAAAACAAAATGTTTTTTTTTAAGTGGTAGTGATTTTTTAAAACAATATATTTTATTGATTTTTTACAGAGAGGAAGGGAGAGAGATAGAGAGCTAGAAACGTCGATGAGAGAGAAACATCGACCAGCTGCCTCTTGCACACCCCCTACTGGGGATGTGCCCGCAACCAACATACATGCCCTTGATGGAATCAAACCTGGGACCTTTCAGTCTGCAGACCGACACTCTACCGCTGAGCCAAACCGGTTTTGGCGTGGCTGTGATTTTTGACCTTGTAATCCTACTTTGGGGAACGCAGCCAAAGAACAATCTTAAATATAGCATAGACCTTGTATAAAATAATAATAGTGTACTGTGTGCCAGGTACCTGGCTAAGTGTTTCAAGTGAGTTACCATGTAATGGGTCCATACAAGACTATGTCATATGATTATTATTTTTCCCATTTTACAAATTAATTAACTATGTCAGACAGCAATGCACAAGCACATGCATTTTGACTGCAGTGAAGCAAAGGTTCCAGTCCAGATTAGCTGAATTCAAAACTGTGCTAACCATCACTGCCTCCCATACATAAAGATGGGCGCTGTGGAATAGATTCTTATAGGATGCTATTAGAAATAGCTTATTTGTCCAGAAATAGGAAAATGGTTACTTGAAGTATAGTGCATCCATCTGATGGATTATTGCAACATATTAAAAGCCATGATGCTTACAAAAATGATATCATATCCATGGGACAAAATAGGATACAAATGATTTAGAGAGCATATTAGCAATTCTGTTTAAAATAAAATTAGTCTTAGAAAGAATCTGGAAGGAAAAGACCCACAAAGAGAACACAACTGTAAAAGCTTTGCATAGGGAAAGAAAAAAAAAAGAACTTTGTATGAAAGGACTTTGGCAGGAAAGATCTCTATACTAACACTACATCTTTGGGTAAGGAAACTACTGATGACATTTTTTTTCTTTCAGCTCAACTTTTTGAAATCTTCTGAATAAGCCAAATTACTTTTATGTTAAAGACGTATACTTGGGTCAAAAGTTTTACAATATGTGTTTATTAGACTATTCTTTCAACTCTAATGAAAGTTTTATTTTTTCCTCAAACTAAATATTTGGGCCGAAACCAGTTTGGCTCAGCGGAAAAGCATGGGCCTGCGGACTAAAAGGTTCAAGTTCGATTCCGGTCAAGGGCATGTACCTTGGTTGCAGGCACATCTCCAGTAGGGAGTGTGCAAGAGGTAGCTAATCGATGATTCTCTCTCATCGATGTTTCTAACTCTATCCCTCTCTCTTCCTCTGTAAAACATCAATAAAATATATATTGTTAAAACCCACTAAATATTTGGGGTAAAGGTTAATTATTGACACTCATTGGTTCCTTTCCAGAACATTTATATGTCATGGGGGAGAGTTTTTTTGTGTCTTATTTTTGAAAGATGCAGGTATTTATTTGCTTACGCTACAAACTAAATATTTTTTTAAAGGATCTTTCCTTTATTTTTTACTTCTTGTTCATCCTGCCCAAGGATATTTTTCCATTGATTTTTAGGGAGAGTGGAAGAGAGAGGGAATGACAAAAACATCCATATGAGAGAAACACATTGATTGGTTGCCTCCTGCATAAGCCTGGTCAGGAGAGGAGCCTGCAATCAAATTACACGCCCTTGATCGAACCAAACCCTGGACACTTTGGTCTATAAGCTGACTCTATCCACACTGAGCCAAACTGGTTAGGGCAAAGATCTTTTCTAAATCTAATGACAATGAACTGTAAAGCAGTCTGCATCATGGTGATGAAATAAATAATTTTAAAAATGAAATACACATTAGGTGCTATCATAAGTATACCAAGTGTTTAAGGAAGGGACTTGTCAATAGCAATATATATTTAATTATTCTTTATTATTAATATATTTTTTCCTTTAATTTCAAAAGGATTCCTTTCCATTGAAAGTTCGTGGTATCCATTTGATAAACGAGCCAATAATTTTTCATGCTGTCTTTTCCATGATTAAACCATTCCTGACTGAAAAAATTAAGGAACGGGTGAGTGAAAGATATTCAAGTCACTATTCCTCTCTACCAAAAGTTCTAATCCTTTTAAATTTAAGAGCTGCTTTATTAAGCACCCACAATCATTAAGCTAATATTTTGAATATTTATCTAACACACCAAATATTCTTATAAATTAACTAGAGGCCCGATGCACGAATTCATGCACGGATGGGGTCCTTCAGCCAGTGGGTGATTGGGGCCGTTTTGGGCCAACTGGGCCCAATTCACCCAGTCCTGATTGGGGAAGATGGGGGCCAATTGGCCGGGAAGGGATTGCAGGAGGGCTCCAGAGCATGTCTGGCCCTCTCACCCAGTCCTGATTGGCTGAATCCCAATCAGGACTGGGTGAGAGGGTCCATCATTTGGTTGGACACTTATTATCTATACTAATAAAAGAGAAAGATGCAAATTGACTGTACCTTTGTGACACCACCCAATCAGGAGTGAGTACACAAATTAAGCCAACAAAGGTGGCAGATTTTGGGCTGCATAGGAAGGCAGAAAGGCGGTTCTCGCCAGAGTGAAGGTGGTGCCAGCAGCCAGGGGAAGGAAGGCCCATTCTTGCACAAATCTTCATGCATCGAGCCTCTACTATAGGATATTTCTTTTTAATTTTGGAAAATCAAGTTAGTCTGTGAGGTAACTGGACCTCCTGCACATTGCTGGTGGGAGTGCAATATGGTGTATTCCCACTAGAGGGCAGTTTATAATAGTTATCAAAATTACAGCCTTTGTGCTTCTGGCAATTTATCCAATCCACACATATAAACAAAATTGCAGCAAAAGATTGGAATCCACCAAGTGTTCACCATCAGGGGACTGGTTAAATGAACTGTGAGACGTCAACACAATGGAATACAAGATTGGTAGTAATGTGAAATAAGCTAAATGCAGAAGAGCATTTATGTTATGCTACCTTTAAAATTTATATATATATATATATATATATATATATATATATATATATATACACACACACACACACACACACACATATACATACATGCATATACATTTTCATTGATTTCAGAGAGGAAGGGAGAGGGATAGAGAGAGATTGAAACATTATTGATGAGAGAGAAACACTGATTGGCTGCCCTCTGCACGCCCTCCCCACCCCCCTACTGGGGATCAAGCCGGCAATCCAGGCATGTGCCCCTGACCAGAACTGAACCTGGGACTCTTCAGGGGTAGGTCTCGGCCCATCCTCCACACCCTGCTGGCCCCTCCCATCATGGTCCCCAGCCCCCTGTCTGCCAGCATCCCTGCTCTTGCCACCACAGCTCCCACATGCTGATGGTGCTGTCTCCGCTTGCACCCACTGACAGCATGGAGCGATTGGGTCAGGCACTAGCAGTGGGTGCAAGTGGGGCCATCGCCGGCGGCAGGTGCGAGTGCCAGGCAGGACCACAGTGTACAGGAGCAAAGACTTCATTAATCACCAGAGGCTCGCCCCAATGACAACTGGCACCATGCCTTGGTCTGGCGCCCCCCCCCCCCCTCCTCACCTCCTCCACCATCCCACCACAGCCAATGCCCACCATGTTCCACACATGCCCCCTGGTGGTCAGCACACGTCATAGCAACCAGTTGTTTGGTTGGTTGTTCCTGTTGTCCCACTGTTTGGTCTATTTGCATATTAGCCTTTTGTTATATAGGATTGTTGCATGTATAGATGAACATTATATGCTTTTGGTCCAAGGTTCCAAATCTTTAACTTGGGCATTATATGATTGATTTTTATAGTATAAAATATTTGAAATTTTAAGACTTTTTAACCATCATAACTGCCTCTTTATTTTGTACTAGCCAAGAATATCCATCAAATGTATCACATAAATTATTTCCCATGTACATAATTTTATGCATTTATTTTATATGGAACTAGAGGCCCAATGCACAAAATTCATACATGGGTAGGGTCCTAGCCTGGCCAGTGATCAGGGCTAATCTGTGGGGTGACCAGCAGGGTGGTCAGGGGGCCCCCCACTCCCTCTAGCATCTGCCTTTGCTGGCCTGGGGCCTGTGGGCTTGGGGCAGCTCCTGCATTGAGTGACTGCCCCCTGGTGGTCAGTGTGCATCATAGTGACCTGTTTTCCACAGGTCATTCGCTGTTTGGTCATTTTGCATAGTAAGCTTTAATTATATAGGATAACACCTGATAGGACATTTTTACCATCTACAGAATAGTCCCAGGATATTTGATATTTTGTTAAGAATCATTTGTACATGAAGGAATAGAATGTATAAAATATTTTTTTAGAGTTTTAAAAGTATATTTATGAAAGAGGAAGATAATTTTTAAAAATAAATCTTGTATAATTATAAGAATGCAAATATAAGAAGATAGTAAGATCAGATTCATAAGCAGCATAATCTAAACAAGTAAAATTCTTAGATTAATAAGTAGAGGAATAAAGGATGTAATATCAATACATGCTCTTCTATCTTGGAAGTTATTAGAGTACCTTCTTTTATGGTGTTGATTTTCCACTGGAAATTCATCTAATGTATCAAAAGGCAGAAGACAAACCTAAAACATTTTGGCTATTTCAGATTCATATGCATGGGACCGATTTCAAACAAAGTTTACTTCAGCATTTCCCAGACATTCTTCCTCTGGAATACGGTGGTGAAGAATTCTCCGTAGAGGATGTTTGTCAAGAGTGGACAGATTTTATAATGAAGTCTGAAAATTATCTTAGCAGTATTTCACAGACCATTCAATGAGAAGAACTTGTTTAATGGGAATGCCTTGCTAATTAAAAATACAAATGAGTGAGATCCTCCTACCTCATTACATGAACAAAAAAAAATCTGTTTAACTAATCAGTGCTCTGATTGATCTTTTGTAAAACTCTTCTGACATGAGCATCATGGGTATTTAGGAAACTATTTTTTAAGTGCATTTTCTTTACATTGGGAGTAATAAATGTTAATATACTTAAAAGCATAGTTATTTCCTGATTTTTAAAAATTATCTCTAAAGTAGCTATTCATGTGTGCCTTTAAACAAGTTCTCTGAGTACACTGGTTTACAAACAAATGTATAAATAGCCACTGGAAAAAACTATTAGCACAAATCAACTGGATGATAAACATTTATTAGTGGCCATTTTGAGTGGGTGTCTGATTAGACTATAATTCAGATTAAAATCTGAATGTAGTTTACTATATTCACTTTCCTGTGGGCCAGCAAGATAGTCCATCTCAGGGAAATTCTATTTTAGCATATTTGCACAATAAAGGCTGTTGATGAGAGAATCTAGATGGCTTAAGTTATTGTATGTAGCATCTATAAGCCTCTCTGAAATGATTCATGTTGACATAATTGATAGCCAAAAATAATTTTGGAAATATTTCAGGCAGAGTTAATAGCTTCTTCATACTGTGTCTGCATTTTCAAACAAAGCGAGAATGTGATTTTGACTTCTGTTTTTGGTTATTCTTATCATGATTGCATAGATATTTAGAGATATAATAATTAGCTGTTATATACATAAACTCTTTTTTTTTTTTTAATGGAACAATAACACAATTACAAAAGGAAAAGGGTATGTCTACATTTTATAAGTACCGCGCGCTAACCGATTGCGCCACTGGAGCCTTTATGTCTACATTTTAAAAATCACTGTCAAATATATCTGGAACTTTTCAGATTACTCATAAAATAATTTGAGTTTTATTATTATATCAGAATATCCTAACCAAATCCTACAATTCACATTTACTTAAAAAAACAAAACAAAACAACAACAACAGTAGTTAAAATGTGCTGTTTGTACTGTAGTTATGATAAAGAATATTTCATTTATTGAGAACCATATAAAGGTATGGCTTATAATTGATGACAGTGTTTATAGTGTTTTATAATTTTTAAGTTTTATTTTAAACTGGGAAATTAAAGAACACAGTGTGCAGAAGTTGGTAGACATTTGTTCAGCTTGGTTGGGTTTCAACATAAATCATCTAATGTTAGCTCTGTGAAAGGGTATATAAACGGTGTTTTTCTTTATAAGAAAATTATTCCAATCAGGTGAGCTGATACTTATGATTCTTTGTACATATATCTATGACAAAATTGAGAATAATTGTGAATGTTCTCTAGAGAACGTATTTTATTTTGGTTTAGCATTGGGAAGCTAATTTTACATGGTAATTTTTATTTAAAAAAATTAGATGGTGCCTGTTCTCTGAAAAAAAAAGTTAGTCTTCTTTGCTAATTATACAATTTAAAATTGTATAATTAAAAAAAATAACAATAGCATTTAAAAGGAGTAAACAACAATAACAAGCTCTGGTTTACCCAACTTTTATTCCTAGAAAGAGGTTTACATAACTAAGTTTCTTTTCATTTACCCTTGGGTACTTAAAACACTTACTTCCACCTGGCTTTGTGGAGTGATTATGTGAGCACATGAATAACGGATGACATTTAAAAATGTCTTTTAAGTGTGATTCATTAGTGATGTTATTAACAATAAGAGGACATTTCATCGTGGGACTTTGAAATTTGTATAAAATGCAGCAATTCACTGAAGAACATTAGATGAACAATGTGAAATTAGCAGGCAATTTTATAAGGTGGCAAGATAAGTAGCTATCAGATTGTCTCTATTACTTAACTGTAATTGAACCAGAAGTGCCTTTTAAAGATGATTTCAAACACATGATTATGGTGTTACTGAACTGCACAATAATTTGTTTAATTATTGTTCAAAAGAAAAATAAAGATCTTTCACATAAACTATAGCTGTTTCTTTTTGCATTCTCTTTTCTTTGCATTCTTTTGGGAAAAAACCTGCTTTTCCTGGAAGAAGAGTTTTATCACATCCAGTTGTCCCTTACACAAATGCCAGTTTTTTCTTCATAAATTTTCATAGCCAGTTTCTGCTTAATTCAACACCCCCTTCTGCTAATGTCTTTTGCTGTGCTTACAGAGACTACGACTAATTTTATAAAACTAAGCCATGTTTACTCAGTTAAAGCTTCCGAGTGAAAAGAGCCAGAGGGTGCCACTTAATAAGTTGATTTTGAAACAATGAACTGTTAGCCTAGATTATAATTTAAAAAATTTTTTAATTGATTTTACAGAGGAAGGGAGGAGGAGCGAGAGATACAAACACCAACGATGAAAATCATTGATTGGCTGCTTCTTGCAAGATCCCCATTCTGGGGATCCAGCCTGCAACCCCAGCATGTGCCCTGACTGGGAATTGAACCAGGACCTCCTGGTTAATAGGGCACTAAAGTTTTACATATGGTAAAGTCCTAATTACCCCTTACAGCAATACCCTTTTCTTAGCTCCTATGTATAATAGTAGAGAGGATAACCCTATGGTGAAGAATTATCCATTATCCTTCGTTGCCTCAAATGACAACTGTGTCTTTCATTTGTCAAAGCAGAGCCTATCAATAGCTCCTAGCATACTGGGCAGACTCAAGTTAACCCAGCCAGCTTCTTCAACTACTTATATTCCTCTCAGACCTCTTCCATACCTATCAGGTCTTTATGTATTATGCTTTCAGAGAGGAAGGGAGAGGGAGAGAGAAACATCAATGATCACAATCATTGATCAGCTGCCTCCTGCATGACCCACGCTGGGGATTAAGCTCCCAACTTAGGCATGTGCCCTGACTGGGAATCAAACCTTGACCTTGGTTCTTAGGTTAACACTCAACCACTGAGCCATGCTGGACCAGCCCTATCACTGGTCTTGCCAGTCCACTGATAGCCGTGGACTGAAAATGTAGAGGCCACCACTAGAATGGTACTGCCTTCTTCCTCTCAGTGGCTCTGACGGCTCCCTAAAAGGGAAGCGGAGAGCTTGGTGGGAGATCTCGAGGACCTGACTGCTACATCTGATCACATCTGAGCCACCTATGGGCTACTCAATAGGATTTGAAACTCTCACACCTTCCAGGAGATAAAAATTACTGTAAAGCATGTAATAAAGAATATCAATTTTCTCACCCAAGAACTTAAAGACTCAACACCAAGTGCTCCCAAACTGACTGATTTTGGGTCCCAGAGGGAGGACATGTGCTTTGTTTGAAAGCAACTGCTGCATATTTGTTTCCCCAAACTTCTCTGAACTCTACATACTGGTATAAACAAGAACAATCAAGTTGCTAACAAAGAAATTCATCTGTTTCCACTGTAGATCTGATCCCATCATTGAAGGATCTTTCCGTACTAATCTACTGGATCGGTTACTAGCTGGCCTCAGGTTCAGGTGTTATTCCTTATTACAACCTCTAAAAATCGTTGTTTTTCTTTTGTTTGTTTGTTTTGTTTTTCTGCTTGAATCCCCTGATTAAATGCCTTGTCTCCAGAACCCTTCTCACTTCCAGACCACTGTCCCAGCACAATAGATGCTCCAGCTTTTTCTCCAAGAACAGCATCAACAAGCTCTGGCGTGGTAATTGGTTAGAGCATCGTCCCAATACACCAAGGTTTCAGGTTCAATTTCTGATCAGGGCACATACAGGAAGCAGCCAATGAGAGCATGGGCGGGTGAAAAAAATGATTTATGTTTCCCTCTTCTTCTTCCCCCTTCCTCTCTCTTTATGAAATCAAAAGGTACAATTTTAAAAAAGAAGAACAGCATCCACAAGAAATGCTGACTTTGTGAACTCTTCCAGGGAACCTTGGCCAAAATCCCACAGAAACGATTCTAACTCCAAAGACAGTTCTAAGACAAACTATGTTCGTTTGACAAGGCCAATAAACAGACCCTTCTCTTGTGCCCAAACCTGCTGACAAAGCCAGGTGCGGACCCTCCAATTTCCCACTCTATCTCATTATTGACTAGAACTGTGTGCAAGGATTGATTAGCTAAGAATGGAATTCTTGTTCCTCAGGAAACTTGCTAACTACAGAAAAAACACATTTCCTGCTCAGATATCTGATTGAGACACCGCCTGCTTGCAAAACAACCCTTACTGTAAGTCTCCAGTATACCACATGTTAATTTGTTTCCACAAGAGTCTGAGGCAAAAACCACCCTACTGAGAAACTCTGATCCTCAGATCTGGGGTGCTCTCCATATTGCAACATCAACCTTGTCACTTGTCTGGTTTCTGTCTTTGACAGAAACCATACAAACATTGTCTGTTAGGCAGGTGGTCTGTCTGGAAAGATTGTGAGCTACAGAGGATTTCTGGAAAAGACTGTACCATTTAACCTCAGCTTTATTTAGCCCCTTGCTACAGGAATGTTTTGTAGACACCAAGAGGTGACTAAACCTCCTTTAACGGTCTCTGCCTTCACCCAGTTACTGCGTTGAGACAAATTTCCCACCTCGCACACACACACAACACACACATACACACAATAACACATTGATAAATGATGTAGACTTCTAGTAAAGCTTTCCTGTAGAAATGGAAAGAGGGCTAACTTGCAAACTACCCAGCAAAACCTTGAAGTAATTTTTTTTAAAATCTATATTTTATTGATTTTTTACAGAGAGGAAGGGAGAGGGATTGAGAGCTAGAAACATTGATGAGAGGGACATTGACCAGCTGCCTCCTGCATACTCCCTTCCAGGGATGTGCCCGCAACCAATGTACATGCCCTTGACTGGAATCGAACCTGGGACCTTTCAGTCCACAGACCGATTTTTTTGTTTCTTACAGGATCCTTATTTTCCCCCTCGTATCCTTCTTTCCCTTCACTGCCATATCATTAAGAGACACCTCACCCTTGTCAATGAAGTTGATTCTCCCTTAGAAGCAATACTTATCTGAAGCTGACGATTCTAGTTCCACTCATTTTCAAGACTCTTTTCCTGTAATTAGCATTATAATCTACCGAGGTCCAGATTGTGTCCAATATTATAGCACTTCATGTTCGACATTTTCGTTCAGGGTTAGATTTTGCCCATGCTTTGTCTCTATCTTCCACTCTCCTTTTCTCTTTATCAAAGATTCTCTGAAGACTTGTCTCTCCCACTCAAGATCTAATCTTCCAGCTTTGATGCAATTTGATACTTATCAATATTCTAGTAATTTGATGTTTGTCCTCTATCTCTTAGTATCACTAAAGGCACGAAACATGTGTAATTTCATTCGTCCTCCTTTTACACCTAATGGTTTTTGAAGATGTGTGGAGAGATTCTGGTTTAGGCATTCGCCATTATCTTTTAGACCCAAGCATAATTTACCCCTTTATCTCTCAAAAGAACTTGATCTCTGTTGAAAAGCATCTCCAATTCATTCACTTTCATGCTAATAATTTATTAACTATACAATTTATGTATTTATTCTCTTAATTATACTTACATTGCATTTAGTATTTCACCATTACAAAAATATTCTTCAAAGAACATACCTGTATAAATGTCTTCCTTTAGGCATGCAAGCATTTTTTTTTAGGGTACCTACTTACATACATCAAAAAGTGCTGGATGGCAGAATAGGTACACTATCACCTTTACCAGAAACTGCCTAATTGCTATAAAAAAAATTACTGTAATAATTTACTCTATCAGCAGTATTAAGAGAACTCTCATTTTTCTACACTCTTGTTATATAATCAGGGTTAACATTTTTGTAGATCTGAAGCATGTAACATATTGTTTTGTCTTTTTAAAAAATATATATATTTTTTATTGATTTCAGAGAGGAAGGGAGAGGGAGAGAGAGAAATATCATCGATGAGAGGGAATTACAAAGCAAATGTAATTCCTGCACACCCCCTACTGGGAATCGAACCTGCAACCCAGGCTTGTGCCCTTAGCTGGAATCAAACCCGGGGTCCTTCAACACACAGAACGAGGCGATACCCATTGATCCAAACCAACTAGGGCTATCTTGTCTTAATGTGCATTTACCTGATGATTAATGAAGATTTGCTTTGTATTTCACTTTCTTTCCCCATTTTTTTTTATAGGGTTGCTGTGTTTTCTTATTTAGTTCTTTGTATATTCTAAAAATGAACATTTTTAAAATTATATATTTTGTAAACATATTTTCCAAGTTTGTGCCTTACTTTTAATTTGCCTAAAGTTATATAGAAGTTTTAGTTATAATGTTAAGTCAAATGTTTCGATTAACATTTGTATTTTAATCATTTGACCACCAGTCATGAATATATACTTCTGCATTTTCTTATAAAGTATTTTATTTTGCCTTTCATATTTATACCTTTAACTCACCTGTAATTTATTTTATTTTTGTGTATAATGCCAAGTAATGATTTAATTTTTTCCTGCGTGGATTTGAGCTCCAGAATCATAAATTCATACTTGCAAAGGCTCCTTATCTGTTCAATTAGGTTCAAAATCAGCTGAGTAAGTAAGGTCTTGCATAATATCTTTAACACATCCTTCAGCCTTATCTCTCACCACACCCGTCCATTTTCTTGTCAAACTAGACTCCTTATTGCAGTCCCTCTCCTTGAAATGTGCCAAAATGTTGCTGTTACTCTCTCCATACATCGTGCTCTCTTCCTGTCTTTTTTCCTTACTGAACTGTAAGCATCTTGTGAAAAAGACAGTATCTAATTCATCCATGCATCTTCAACATTTAGCAGTGATTGAGTCAATTTTCAAATACTTTTCTTCAACTTTATTCTGAATTTAATTTGGGCCTTTTAGGTGGGTACTTCCACCTAACATTATCCATATCAATACGTTTTACTTTCTCACACACAGAAATAAAAAGTTTCCTGTTTTTTTTTACCTACTTACCATGAAAATAGGGATTCCAAATTTCAAAATTTTAACAAGAACCCTTAAAAGACGTTCAATGGCCGAAACTGGTTTGGCTCAATGGATAGAGCATCGGCCTGCGGACTGAAAGGTCCCAGGTTCGATTCCGGTCAAGGGCCTGTACCTTGGTTGCGGGCACATCTCCGGTAGGGGGTGTGCAGGAGGCAGCTGGTCGATGTTTCTAGCTCTCTGTCCCTCTCCCTTTCTCTCTGTAAAAAAATCAATAAAATATATTTTAAAAAAAAGACGTTCAATGAACCGGAACCAAAGCCATCAGGCCTGCCTCCAGTTTACAGGACAAAGTCTGCAGACCATACTAATGGGGAGGTCGGTGAGCCTCTTCTGAGGGCCTCGCCTGGACTTGCCACTTTGCAGTCCCTCCTTGACTGGGTTCTGGAGTGAGGCCATTCACCTGGGCACACGTTCATTCACATCCATCCTCCTTCCCTTCCCGCTGCTTTCCTCCAGATGCCTCGACGACCCTGCAAAGAAACGACAGGATGTGGAAACCACCCCCTCGAGCTCGCAGCCTATCCTTCCACAGAACGCTGGAGTGCCCACGTGGCCGTTGGCATTCCTGACCCACAAAGCTCTGGCCTTTGAAGCAGGAGCCGCAGTGGGCGCCAAGTTCTCAGGATCCCTCGCCGCCTCTCCAGCTGCCTGGTGACGGGGTCCCGCTGGGACCCAGGATCCTCCTCTTCGCGGGTCTGACCTCATCCCATGAGTTAACAGCTGCCAGGGGAGACCACCCGGTGCCCACCCAGCCGATTCCGAACGGGCGGGCGCACCAATCGCGGTTAGAGCCATGCTGCAGCGGGTGAACTCGCCTTGCGCGCCGGGACTACAATTCCCATAAGCCCCCGCGGCGGAGCCCCGCCCCCGCCGGACGCCTTCCAGCCGCCGCTCGGCCGCGCAATCGCCGCAGCTGCCGCCGCTCGGGGCCAGCCGGCCACCGAGCCTTTGAAAGACGGCGGGAGGCGGCCGGCGCCATGGCGAGCCCGGGACACCTGCTGTACGCGCTGGGCCTGCTGCTGTGCGCAGCGGGGACCCTCCGGCTGTCCGCGGCCCCTGCGTCCACCCAGAAGCCCATCATCGGTAAGAAGGCGCCGGGTCCGGCGCGGCGGCGCCTCCGGCCACGGGCTGCGGGTCCAGGGAGGACGGGGAGCCGGGCGCCCTGAGCCCGCAGGCACCGCGCGGGTGTGTGCATCTTTGCCGAAACCACGCGGAAGCCTGGTTGCTCTCCCAGAGCTTTAAATAAAGCTGGGGGGGTGGGGGGGTGGAGAAAGCCTTGCAGAATAGTGTTTTGTGCTCGGGACACAGCTGGGGATGTCTGCGAATCAAGCGCATTCTGTGCATGCGTGTATATTCATTAAAAAGTCACCGGTGGAGGGTATGTTTCAAGATGCAATGCACACTGTCCATATAAAAAAATCTAGACATTCAAGAAATGATGGTTTTTCTCCGGTTTTGTCACCTTGAGCAGTGGAGGGCGGCAGTGGCCCGTGTGATCCGAATGCCAGTTCTGTGTGGGTTTCAAATGAAGCATGCATTATTCCGTTTCCAACACATTTGTATTTTAAAAAGTCAAGTCCGTTTGCTTTGTCAGAAGGGACACTGGAGGCAGGGCAGGAGAAAGCTACCCATGGGAAGTCAGCCTGGGATTTAAAAAAACAAAAACAAAAAAACTTGCCAGAAATAATTGATGTCAACCATTAAGATTGGTTTAATTTGTAACTAAATGCAAAGGAGACGGGGGTCTTTTTCTTTATATTGGTAGTGTGCCCAATTTTCAAATGGGTTGTGTGCCAGTATATGGACATTGGACTGCCTTCTTTCCTAGCTATGTAAGTTAGAAGTTAGATCCTCCAAGGAGCATGAACTCAAAATGTAATTCTGTGTGCTGGGTGGGGAAGTGTGGGTTCAGGGAGGAGGGGAACAAGGAGAAGAGGGGTATTCTTTTCCCTTTTCTAGAAACAGTGGTAGTTCAGGGTCAACTGTAGAAAGAATGAATATGCTTTTGGGCACCCTGATCAATTAAGACAAAATAGTTAACTGAACACCTACTACATGCAGAGCATTAAGTGAGGAAGTGCAAAGGATTCAAAGACAAAGAAGCCAAAAAAAAAAAAAAAAGTTGTGAGATGGCTTTAAAGTAGGGGTGACATTTTGGTCACGTTCTGAGGGACTTGGAACATAGCTTGAACTTTTCTCCCCATACGGGGAAAGTGAGTGTGTGTGTGGAAGCCAGGGGAGGGGGATGAGTTGGTGCAACTTACCAGCATTCTCCTCTCTCTCTCTCTCTCTCTCTCTCTCTCTCTCTCTCTCTCTCTCTCTCTCTCTCTCTTTCCTTCCTGGTGTCTTGTGTTCACATGTCCCAGTTCTCCTTTGTGGCACCTCACCCTTGCCTACCCTGTACCACGCCCATTTCCTATGACACTCCCTAATTTTTGCCCTACCAAGTTTTATTTTCCTTAAGAGGATCCTACCTATCCAAGGGAAGGCAAACAGTCTTACTGAACAGATTTTGGCATTTGGTATATATGAACTGAGTGTCTGAGAAAATGACAGTTGTAAGAAGCTGGGACTACGGAAGTGTTGTCTCATTCACCTGCAGAGACATTGAACGTGTTCCAGACGGTGGAGTAGTGATGGTTGCGGGCACAGGTGTGCTCTCTGGATAGGCGTGTTTTGGCGGGACTCTATAGGCGTGTTTTGGCGGGACTCGGTGTTATTCTGGGGCTGAGGTTCCGGTTGTGAGAGGCAGGCAGGGAGGTAGGTGGGGCAGACCACAGAGGGTCTTGTCATAGGTATGAGAGCTTAGGAGCCCGTTGGAGGGCAGGGAGGTACACCCAGCAGAGAGGTACACCCTGCTGATCTGTCTCTCTGATCTCACGTTCTATCGCTTTCCCCTCTCGCTCACACAGGGCTCTGGTCCGTATGGACCCCGTGTGATGTGACGGGCACACACCTGATTCAGAAGCCTTTGTACTTGCTGTTCCCTCACCCTGGATCTCTCGTCCTCCAGGTATCTGCATAGGTCTTGCCCCCTCCGCTCTCATAGGTCCTGGATCAAATGCCACGTTCTGCCTTCTCAGGAAGGACTTGCCTCACAAGAGATCCTCTTTAGACGGACACACCCCAAACACACACCCCTTCCTCTGCTTTACTTTTCTCCATAGCACGATGTGTTTTATCTTGTTTATTTTTTGTCTTCTCTCCTCTCCCTCCCACACACTGGAATTAAAGCCCACAGGGCAGTGATTTTTATTTGTTTTATTCATTTATGTGTCCCCAGCACCTAGTTCAGTGCCTGCTCTGTGGTGTGATTTTGTATTATATACTACGCAAGTGAGTGAGTGAGTGAGTGAATGAATGAATGCATGAATGGTGATACCAGGTTTCTTACCATGTGGAGAACTGGTTGGAGATGGTGGAGGTTGTTTAAGAAAGTTGGAGAGAGACCTTTTTAGAGGCTATTATAATAGCTGGGGGGCGGGGGAGGCAAGATGTTCGCTTGGATTGACGCAGTTTTGCTGATGTTTGGAGAGATGTGGATAGAAGATATTTCCGCTCTGGCTTTGTTGTCAAGGAAACAGTGTGTCTTTGAGTGTGTGTGGGAAGGAAGAGGCCTCCTTCTAGATAGAAGGATCGGTATGTGCTGTGAGACCCACTGCAGATCTAAGGCTGCGTGAAGGAGGCTGGCGCTCGTGTAAGCATGCCTTGGGGACTTATTTGGCCTCCCTGGTGAGGGCAGAGAGAGGAAGCTACTCAGATCAGCTTCCACTTTCCTGTGGGGGGCTGTTTCTAAATGACAGGTTCCTGAGTGGAGGAGCCCGGGATTACGAAATTAAAGAAAAAAAAGTGACCAAGAGGCAGAAATAGATTCAAGATGGGACCCGGTGGGAGGCTGCCATTCTGATCGAGAGACAGTCAACACCCACCACAGACGACGCAGTGCATTTATTTATTTCAGAAGGAATAAAGGGGGGTTTCCCTGAAAAGCTTAGAATCAAAGGAGTTTTGGGTGTGTCCAGGCCCTATTCATTCCCTCACTCCTGGGATTTAGCATATCAAGACCTGGGTTAGTCAAGGTCCTATTCGTTCCTCACTCCCAGCACTGGATAAAGATAAGAAATCATTTTGGGGAAACATGTTCCAGGGCTTCCCGCTGCAGTCCCCCTCCCCCCCCCTGCCCCCCTGCTTGCTTCTCCACAGCTTTGCTCCCTTCTGCAGGCTTAGTTTGTGTGGTGGAGTGATGGTTAATTTGCATATTACTCTATTATTAGGATGGATGTATATATATATATATATATATATATATTTATATATGTGCGTGTGTGTATATATAAAATATATATATATCTCCATCCTAATAATAGAGTATTATGCAAATTAACCATCACTCCACCACACAAACCATGCCCACCAGCCAATTAGGGTGAGTATACAAATTAACCCAACCAAGATGGCGGTTAATCTGCATATCAAGACAGTGTAGAAAGAAGCCAAGCCTGCAGAAGGGAGCAAAGCTGTGAAGAAGCAAGCAGGGGGGTGGGGGAGGGGAAGGGAAAGGGAGGAAAGCAAGAGGGGCAGCAACTACAGCAGGAAGCCCTATTGCTGGAATCTTCCTGCAACGGGCCACTAGTGTGTGTATGTATGTGTGTGTATACCTGTTTCCCTGAAAATAAGACAGTGTCTTATATTAATTTTTGCTCCCAAAAATGCGCAGGTCTTATTTTCAGGGGATGTCTTATTTTCCCATGAAGAAGAATACGGCACATGTTTATTGTTAAATGAAAATAAAGGACATTTATTACCTGTATATGGTACGGTAGTACGGTAGTTGTCAACACAAACCAGACAAACTGTGAATCCTACAGTATCAAGAATTTACTCATTTATTCAGTGACAATCATGTCATCATCTTCTGGAACATCATCATAACAATCCAATTCCTGAATTTCCTGGTGAATTTCTTGTGACTCCATTTCTTTCAGAATCAGTGGACCAAATCTCTCATATTTAGCCTAGGGGGGGGAGCTTATTTTCGGGGGGATTCCTTATATTTCATTCAGAAGGAAACCTGTAAGTAGGTCTTATTTTTGGAGGATGTCTTATTTTGGGGGAAACATGGTGTGTGTGTGTGTGTGTGTGTGTGTGTGTATTTATATATATTGTCGTTACATTTTTACTGTGATTTGTTTCAGTTTCTGATCAGAAAAAAGGCAATTGTTTGAAACTAAAACTTTTTTTTTTTTTTTTTTTTTTTTTTTTGTAATTAGGAGTATTAATGCAATCATGCTATACTAAGGAAATGAAAAACCTGGGAAAATACTATATTGCTGCATCCTATGTAAAGTATTTGGAGTCTGCAGGTGCCAGAGTTGTACCAGTAAGGTATGATTCAGTATTTTTTTTTTTTTTACACTGTATAAATAAAGCTACTGTTTTACCTTTAAAATTAGCTTTTATCTTTAAAATTAATGCCTCCCTTTGATTGCATTACTTAAATGTGGTACTACTGCACCTGATTTTTGCTACAGATCTGATGCTTAAAGTCTCTCACTACATCGCTTAAAGTATGAAGTGTGCTTATCTCTTACACCATTAGATGTATGCCATATGTATTAGATAGAGAATGAAATGATAGTTGTTTTTTTTTTTACAACCCCAAAGGCGGTCCTCATTAGACAATTGTGAAATTAGTGGAGTAAAAGAATCTATAACTTTACCAGCTTTATTCCATAATATTTGGGTAAGGGTCCACTTAGGGAATAAAGGAGATTTTTAGAAGATGACTTTCGCAATGCCTTCACACTCTAAAAGTTTGTATTAAGTAACGAATACAGCAATGTTGCCTCAGTATAAACTATAGGTATTACAGTTTTGTTTTGTTTTAAATTTTTAAAAATATATTTTATTGATTTTTTTACAGAGAGGAAGGGAGAGAGATAGGGAGCTAGAAACGTCAATGAGAGAGAAACATCGACCAGCTGCCTTTTGCACACCCCCCACCGGGGATGCGCCCACAACCAAGGTACATGCCCTTAACCAGAATCGAACCCGGGACCTTTCAGTCCACGGGCCGACGCTCTACCACTGAGCCAAACCGGTTTCGGCAGGTATTACAGTTTTAAAAGAGCGACATTGGTTTTGTGATGTAATGACCTAGTAAGAATAAAATGATTCATACCATATATTGATTTGGAAAGAGTTGAATTTTTTAACAAACAAAACTTTATGTGTTCATAATATTTTATCCAAAATTAGTGTATTTTGGAGGCTTCTAGCACTACCCTCTAATCCATTATAAGTGATCTCAGGCACAAAATACCACTTTATGCTCTGTGCAAACTGCTTTTGTAAATAATTCTGCATTTAACAACTATAATATGCTCTGGCCAGTGTGGATAAATGGTTAGAGCTCCGGCCTGCACACCAAAGGGTCATAGGTTCAATTCCCAGTCAAGAGCATGTACTTAGGTTGCAGGTTCCATCTCCGGCCCTGGTTCGTATGCTTCTCTCTCAATCACTGTTTCTCTCTCTCTCCCCCTCACATCTCCCTCCTTTCCACTCTCTCTAAAAACATCAATCGAGAAAAATACCTGGTGAGTGAAGATTAACAACAAAACAAACAAACCCCCACAAATAGACAAACAAAAAAATTTATAACCAAAAATACTGTTCAAATGGAATATTAATAATCGAAATGCAAATATTACAATTTAGAAAATTGTTTCACAAAATGCTTTTATGTTTAGCTTCATAAGGATTGTCTTTTTAAAAAATATACTATATTTCTTTATAGATTTCAGAGAGGAAGGGGAAGGGAGAGAGAAAAACATCAATGATGAGAGAGAATCACTGATCGGCTGCCTCCTGCATGCTCCCTTCTGGGGATTGAGCCCCCAACCCAGGTGTGTCTTATTGGCCAGAATCGAACCCGGGATCCTTCAGTCCGCAGGCTGACGCTCTATCCACTGAGCCAAACCAGCTAGGGCAAGAATGTCTTCTTACTCATTATTTTATATTTAGCTGTCTCTACCCCAAGATGAACATTTGCTTTTAATGTTAGTCTTTAAATCCTCAGTAGCAGATCTAATTTTTCAAGTGAAATCTTACTTGGAGACCAGAGAGCACCAGAGTTTTAGAGCTGCAGAAGAGGCTCCAGGGAATCTTCAGAACAGCCTTTCAAAGTTTTGATCACGGAAGCATTTTCTGCAAGCCATTCTTCTAGCCCAGTAGTCGGCAAACCTCAGCTCGAGAGCCACATGTGGCTCTTTTGCCCCTTGAGTGTTCTAACGCCACTTCTTCACAATAGACTCGCCCAGGCTGAAAACCGACTTCTGCACATGTGCCATGAAGTTTCAATCGCACTGTACGTGAGTGCCCACATGTGATATTTTGTGGAAGAGCCACACTCAACGGGCCAAAGAGCTGCATGTGGCTCATGAGTCGTGGTTTGCCGACCACTGTTCTAGGACATTAGAGCTGAGAGCCTGGGTGGGAAGTAGGAGGGACAGAGGCAGGTGTACCAGTTCAGAGACTTGCAGTAGGCTGTGAAGTGGGAAGGGTTTGGCTTAACATAGTGGTTGTGGCCTAGATAGGTAAATATTATTTTTAAGAAAAATAAACACGACTTGATGACTAACATAAGGGAGGAAGAGATGAGAAAGACAGACATTTTGAAATGGGGGAAGTGTTGAAACCCATGATTCACCAAGTACTGGCATGTATGACTTTTGAAATACCTAAAAACGTGACTGTCAGCATAAAGGTTGATTTCCAGCTTGGGTTCCCAGAGTTCTTTTTAAGTAAATTGCTTGGGATTAGCATCATCGGATCCTATAAAAACCACACAACACATGGCAGCTAGATTCCCAGAGTGGCCTGCACGGGGTTACCTAATGTGGAACGAGACAGAGGATCTCACTGATAATGTCGGGCTTATTTCTTCAGGTTGGATGCTGGGAGCCACCTGCTGCAGGTTAGGAGGGAAAGGAGGAGGATGGGAGACATAGGCAGAGTCTGGAGTAGGTAAAGACCTTGGTCTTAGGTCTTCTTTTGTCTTCTCTCTGCTACCTTCTGCCTCAGGTGCCTGGCACTCTCAGGTTCCCCCCGTTCCCCGCCGGGGGACTAGTGGGACCCACAGAGATGCCTCTTCCTGAGAGGCTGCTTTTGGTTTAAAAAAATGTGCTTTGTTCACACAGCATTATAAAGCGTTTTAAACATTAGCATTTAATAAAATCTTGACTTTTGGCCTCTTTTTTAACAAAGTTTTCTGGAGCTGATTTGCAGTGGAGCAAGAGCTCTCCACTGGCAGCAATGCCCTTCTCTCCTTGTTATGCTGTGTCATTTGTCATCATTATTTGGCTCACATAGTGTTTGTTTAGTTAAAGAGAAAGGGAACTATTTCACTTCCTTTGAGAAGTTCTTTTGTTTCAAAAAAAGTCTGACAACATGCAAATACCATTGCATTCAAAGCATGCGACCTGGCCTCCTTTCCCTGGCAGGTCAATGGGGCACTGGAGTCTGTGACAGCCTCCCTCTCCCCAAACATTCAACAGTTACACCTCTCAACAGTGATAAGCAGGGGTCCACACTTCAGTCCTGGACAATGTGGAAGCCATTTGTTTAGAACAAATGAAATGACCGAGACTAGCCTACATGGCTAGCTGTCAGAAGTCCCTGGGTATAGCTGAGGGATCTAAATCCATTCTGTTTCCTGATAGTGGTGGCTTCCCATCCTGATTTAAATATCCGTGGGGGAGATTCTGGGTCGTGAACGGTTCCCTTATTGTTGGCACAATTTGGGAAGATTGAACTGAAAGAATATTGGGAGTGGGTAAACTCACATTTCGTCTCCCTGTCGCTTCCTACGTCAGGGCCACCTGCCCATTTACCCTCCAGGTAAGAGAATGGTAAGTGGCATTGCAATGTCACCCACTCTTCGTGGCTCTTTGCCAGAAGGATTATTATAACTTTCCAAACAGACCTGAGCTTGCACAGCTCATTTGGAGTTAGAGCAGAGCCCAGAGGGGCTTGCTGGCCTACCACAGCCAAGTTCAGGGCATCCAAGGTAATGTTAGTGTTCCAACTCCCTCCCTCCCAAAACAGACAGACAAACAAACAAACAAACAAACATTTCACTGAGGCAGAAATGGGCTGTAGTTTATATTTGATCTCAACCTACTTCTTTTGTGGCAGGTTGAGAGGGCATTGTGCCTTGTTATTCTCTTACAGAACCATGAGACTGCTAAATGGCCAGATTTCACAAGTAGGATGCTCTCTTTCCTTGTTCTTCCGTTTTGTTGAACTTCTGGGAGAACAAACCCATCTCTCTGTGACTTAAAGGTTGGAGCCAGTTGTCACAGAGTAATTCCATCCGTCTTCTCTGGAGAAGGGGATAAAATCATCAGTAACTTAGTGATTATTAGGGGCCCTGGATGAAATGGACATATTCCTAGAAAAACACAATCTTTCAAAACTCAATCAGGAAGAATCAGAAAACCTGAAAGGTCAATAACTATTGATGAAATTGAAACAGTAATAATAATAAACAGTAATAAAAAACTTCCAGCAAACAAAAGCCCTGGTCCTAACAGCTTCACAGTGGAGTTTTACCAAACATCCAAAGAAGAACTAACACCTATTCTCAAACTATTCCAAAAAATTCAAGAGAAAGGAATACTTCCAAGAGCTTTCTATGAAGCCAGCATTAGCCTAACCCCCAAACCAGATAAAGACATTAAAAAGAAAGAGAACTACAGGCCAGTATCCCTGATGAACATAGATGCTAAAATCCTCAACAAAATATTAGAAAATTGGATCCAGTAATATATTAAAAAGATCGTACATCATGAGCATAAAGTGGGATTTATTCCGGGGATGCAAGGTTGGTACAATATCTGCAAATCAATAAATGTGATATAGCAAAATGACAGATTGCAAGACAAAAGTCACATGATCATATCAATTGAAGCAGAAAAAACATTTGACAAAATCTAACACCCTTTTTTGATAAAAACTATCAGCAAAGTGGGAATAGAGGGATCATACCTCAACATAATAAGACCCTTATAAGACAAACCTACAGCCAACATCATACTCAATGGGCAAAACTAAAACTATTTCTTCAAAGAACAAGAACAAGAGAAGGGTGTCTATTTTCATCACTCCTGTTCAACATAGTACTAGCTGTAGTGATCAGACAAGAAAAAGAAATAAAAGGCATCCAAATTGGAAAGGAGGAAGTAAAATTGTCTTTATTTGCAGATGACATGATATTGTACACAGAGAACCCTAAAGACTTCATCAAAACACTACTAGATTTATTAAATGAATTGGCAACAAAATTAACATCCAGAAATCTATGGCATTTTTGTATACCAATAATGAACTCTCAAAAAGAGAAACTAAAAAAAAAAAAAAAAAAAAAAAAAATCTCATTTACCATTGCAACAAGAAAATAAAGATATTTACTAATAAACTTAACCGAGGAAGTAAAAGACCTATACTCAGAAAACTGCAGGACATTGAAAAAAGAGATAGAGGAAGATATGAACAGTGGAAGAGTTCACGGGGTGTTTGACGAAGGTGCCTCAGAATAATTCACGGGCAGATTAGGCCAGTCTACCGTGATCTGCATATAATCCCTCCCTAGATCTCAACTCTTCTGACTTTTGAATACACAGTAGTCTCTAGACCTTTGCAGTTGGTGGTGGGGAGAGTGAAGTATGGTGGAGGCTTTTCAATGGATTGTTTTCATCTGCCAAAGCCGCCTGGAGTTAAGATAGGCGTGATAATACATATCCGTTTTGACCTTACATAAAATTACTGATTGGCTAATGGAGAAATTACCAGAGCTTAAATCTCGTGTTTTGTTTTTTTTAAATAATTTTTTTCATTTTTCAATGACTGTTGACCTATACAATATTAGTTTTAGGTGTACAACATAGTGATTAGGCATTTATATGTATAACTTATGAAGGGATCCTCGATAAGTCTATTTAGTACCCATCTTACCATACATAATTATTATAATACTAGAGGCCTGGTACTTGGGTAGGATCCCTAGGTCTGGCTGGCGATCAGGCTGATATGTGGGATGACCAGCAGGGTAATTATCCCCCCCACACACACACCCACCTTGGCCAGCCTGGTGCCGCCCACTCACCAGTCCCGCCCAGTTGCCTCCCTGCGTGGGGCAACCAGCAGGGCGATCACGGGGCCCCTGCTGGCACCTGCATTGGCTGGCCTGGGGGCAGCTCCTGCATTGAGCTTCTGTCCCCAGTTGTGCATCATAGCAACTGGTCATTCTGCCATTTGGTCAATTTGCATATTAGGCTTTTATTATATAGGATTATTGGCTATATTTCTTTTTTCCCCCTATATTCCTTATGCTGTACTTTACATCCCTTTGACTACTGTTATATATGGCAGTGTGTGCCTTAATCTCTTCACCTAGTCCCATAACCCCTTTCCCATCTGATAACCATCAATTTGTTCTCGGTATCCCCAAATCTCATGGTCTTTAATATTTTGCATATGAATACATATTTCACAATTTTAAATTATAGTGGACCACAGGAAAGCATATTTACTTGTCTGATTAGCAAAACAAGCATATAATTGTATGGCTTTCATCTAGTTTGAAAGGATACCTCTAGGAAGGTAGAGAGGTGATATTACTTAGTATTTAAGAATTATTTTTCTTTCTCTTTTTAAAAAAATGTTTTTTATTGATTTTTTTACAGAGAGGAAGGGACAGGGATAAAGAGTTAGAAACATTGATGAGAGAGAAACATTGATCAGCTGCCTCCTGCACACCGCCTATTGGGGATGTGCCCACAACCAGGGTACATGCTCTTGACCAGAATAGAACCTGGGACCTTTGAATCCACAGGCCAATGCTCTATCCACTGAGGGCAAGAATTCTTTTCATCTGGCTTTTAATAATAATATGGTGACTTCATTTAGAGCCTGACTGTTTTCTTAGGTTTGGGAAATGGATGTTTTGTCACTGTTTTTCTTGTTTTCAGGCTTGATCTCACAGATGAAGAGTATGTAAAGCTTTTCCGATCCATTAATGGGTAAGTTTTGATATGGTGTGTGAGGTCTATGTAGTCTGCTCTTGCAAAAAAGTACACATAAGTATTCCACGTGTTTCTGTGTAACTGTTGCAGTGCTGTACCGTTAGATTTCTGACTTTCAGGGGAATTATATTGTTGAGAGAGAGAGATGCAATTGACCTGCAGAGACATTAATGTTACACAGTAGACATTTATCATTTTTTAAAATGTGTGACATAGTCTTTGTTCTCTTAATGCCTGCTTTAAGTATTTTGAAGCCACTTTGAATAGCATGGCGTACCGCTTGCTTAGAGGATTTATAAATCTTAAGCTTAAGGATACTACTCAGTTCTCTTTCAGAAGGTGATTTGAATAGAACTTGGAAAAAATTGTCTATACTGTGGCATCACCAAAAAAGTTATGATTGGTTACCTCACAGAAAAAAATCTTTTAATATGAAAAAATGTTCAACATTATGCATAATTAAAGGAAATCTAATTATAGGAATTAAAAAAGGTTTTTAAAAACTATCAACTTAAAGATCAGTAAATTTGTTAATATTATTTGGTGAAGATGTGAAGAAAAAAGTATTCTCCTACTTTACTTATGGCTGTGTAAGTTACATAATCTTTTGGGGGCCAGTTTTGAAATACCACTTGCAATAAAAAATGCACATACACTTTGAGCCAGGAAATCCTTAGTGAGGAATATTACTTTACAAGTATATACCCCCCACATGTGTAGAGTTGGGTCCATCATATGCACTATAATATTGTTTGAAATACACTCAGTTTCATAGCCACCCATTCGTCCATCAGCTGAGAACTGGGTAAGTAAAGGAGGCTGTCTACATGATAGAATGTATGAGGTAAAAAATCAGGATAGCTGTCGGTGCTGCTTTGGACACTGATGTTTCTTGAACAGTGTGATATTATACGAAAAAAGCAGGGCACATTATGGTGTGTGAAGTATGCTCCCATTCTTTGGTTCTTAAGGTAGGTGTGAGGGCGACATGTGTAACATAAATCTGTCAGGTCAATGCAGCAGATTTTTTTACCTTTTTTTTTTTTTTTAAATATATTTTATTGTTTTTTTACAGTGAGGGATAGAGAGCCAGAAACATTGAGGAGAGAGAAACATCGATCAGCTGCCTCCTGCACACCCCCTACTGGGGATGTACCTGCAACCAAGATACATGCCCTTGACCGGAATCGAACCCAGGACCCTTGAGTCCGCAAGCCAACACTCTATCCACTGAGCCAAACCGGTTTTAGCCAATGCAGCAGATTTTATCGGTGGTTTTTCCTGATTGGGAGTGGGATGGAGAGAGTCTGTTACTGTAAAGTTTTTATAAAAAGAGCATTTTTTTGTTTTGTTTTGTTTTTAAAAAGAAAAACAACAACAAAACTTTTAAAAGCTGTAATCATTTATTACAATTTTTTTTAAAGGCTGTGTTTAAAACTTGCCTTGTGTTTTGAAAGATCTGCTTTTCTTGTTTTTATTTTATTGTCTAAAGTTTTACATATGTATCCTTTTTCTCCAATTGCTCCCCAACCCCCAGCCATTCCCACCCCAGGCAAGCCCCCACTGCCCCCTGTCTGTGCCCATTGGTTATGCTAATATGCATGCATAGAAGTCCCTTGGTTGCTCTCTAAACCCCGCCCCTACCATTTGTCTCTAGATTGATTTATTCTTGTTCATCCAACTGACTTTAGTTCAGTTTGGTTCAGTAAATATTTACTATAAAGTCAGTTCAATTTAGTGAAACATTTAAAATGCCCGTTACGCTTAGTGTCCTTTGGCCCAGGCAAGGACAAACAAGCAGGCTGGACGCTATGCTAGAACCTCCGCATGCACACCAGGAAGTGAGCACTGCTCTGCCCCTGCAGAAGCACCTTCACGCCCTGTGATGCAGCAGAGCCCATCCAGTTGTGGGGGTGCCCAGAGATGGAAAGGCAGAGCCTGGCTTTATTTTATTTTTTTAAATATATTTCGTTGATTTTTTACAGAGAGGAAGGGAGAAGGATAGAGAATTAGAAACATTGATGAGAGAAACATCAATCAGCTGCTTCCTGCACACCCCCTATGGGGGATGTACCCACAACCAAGTTACATACCCTTGACTGGGATCCTTCAGTCCTCAGTCCGATGCTCTATCACCGGTTTTGAAGGAGTTTGTCAACTGGGTGGGGCAGTCAAGCTTTACTTGATGAAAGGATTTTGTGCTTAAACATATCAGGTTTGCTCAGAGGCAGCTTTTTAAGTACTGAGTTGATGAAAAGGGAGAACTGCTAATGGGTCTTCATTAATCCACTTTGAATTGTAGCATTTTCTGCATGGTTTTGTGGCAGGTGTTCCACCTCATTCTTTATAGTTTCTCACTGGACTGTGATCTTACTAACAGAAAACTTACCCATCTTTGGCTGTCCAGGCTAATGCTGAGCCTGGCTCACGCAAGAAGCAGAGTATAGTTGTTGAATGAACAACCATCTCAGCAGCAGCATTTCACATATCTCAAATTCATATTTAAGTATTTTCAAAATGTTAATACCTTTAATCTAACTTTTATAATCTCTTTGGTCTATCCCTGGCTTATTTCAAGACTTTTTCTATATCTCACCTTTATCGGTAGAATAAAATAAAATGCTTGCTACTTCCCCCCACCTAGACCTCTAGAAATGGGATTGTGTTATTTTTCAAAACTCTTCTAATCCTATGACTATTACTGAAGAGATTTCAGGGTGATAATATAGCATTGAATTATCATGGATATTTAATTTTAGCTTACATATATTTTTATGATCAGTTCTTTCTTTTTATTGATATTTTACAGAGAGGAAGAGAAAGGGATTTAGAGAGGTAGAAATATCGATGAGAGAGAAACATTGATCAGCTGCCTCCTGCACACCCCCACTGGGGATGTGCCCCCAACCAAGTTACATGCCCTTGACTGGAATTGAACCGGGGACCCCTCAGTCTGCAGGCCGACACTCTATCCATTAAACCAAACCGGTTTCGGCCACAAAAGTATTTTTAACTGCAATAATTTACAAATGGGTAGGATTGTGAATATTTCATGTCTTCTTTTGCCTCAGTTTTCTCATTTTCTGTAATGACCTTCTTGCTTATGTAATAGGAAGGAGTTGTTTTGAAATAAAAGGATGGTTTGGTGTCTGTGGGGCGGGTGGAAATGCATCCTTTCGGATATCGTTTCAGGGTCCTCTTCCCCGGAGGCGGCGTTAACCTCACGAAGTCAGGTTATGCCCGCACGGCCAAGATATTTTACAGCCTCGCCACACAGGTAAGTATCAGTTGTTTCTTCTTATTCCAGATGGGGTTTTAAAAAAATACATGTTTTTATTTATCTTTCTTAGAGAGGAAGGGGGAAGGAGAAACATAATGAGAATCATCCATCAGCTGCCTCCTGCATGTCCCCTAATGGGGATCGAGCCTGCAACCCAGGCATGTCCCTGACCGGGAATCCAGCCTGCGACTTTTGGGAGCATGGGAGGACCGACACCAACCGGGGCCCAGATGGGTTTTTGTAATTTGCCGTGGGGATAATTCCTTTTCAGGCACAGAATACTTCCTTCATAGTTACTCTGGCCTCATCATCCCCTCCCCTCTTGAGGTGCCTGCTTATGAGCAGCCAGAGGGGCTATCGCTCATTTTCCGTTTCATTTAATCCTGGGTGCCAGGGGCCCTTCGGGGCCTTGCTGACTGGCCCTCTCTGTTTGTGCGCGCTAATGTGAACCGGGTCCTCCTGCTGGCTTAGTAGGCTGTTTTTATTATGCACTGGGCGTTCATATACTACTAATTTTCATCTCCTCTTGAAAGCTGCTCTTTGTCCCAACCTAATCAATGTATCTATAAATCCTGAGATAATGGAGGAAAGAGTGGGTTCAAAACTAGACAATTATCCAAAGCGACAAGATTTATAGAAGACGTAAAAATAGGCATTTTATCTGGCATTGTAATTTGATAGTTACAGTCCCTGATGCTTGTATTATTTGGTAGTTGACTGGCAGATGTCAGCTTCTTTCCCAAAACCACCGAGGCTGGATAGTTTGTGTGATTAAAATGGAGCTGGGAGACTAAATGGCAGCTTCCTTTTGGAACCTGGGAAATGCTTCAGAAATCCATGTACCTCTCACGTGCCAGCCTTGTAATGACAAACCAAACGTATGATTTTTGTTTTGAAAAGGTTGAATAAGTTTTGTTTTCTCTTTCAAAGAGTTTTGATGATGGAGACTACTTTCCTGTGTGGGGCACATGCCTGGGATTTGAAGAGCTTTCGTATCTGGTCAGTGGAGAGTTATTGTTAACGAACACAGATACTAAAGAAGTCACATTGCCGCTGAACCTCAGCCAAGGTAAGAATTCTCTTTCTGACCCTTTAAGAAATGTTAGCTGGGCAGGGTTAGGAAGTAGCAAATATCAAGTAAAAAGTGCTCGTGACATTTATTCGTTTTTAAATTATTTACTCAGGCTAGAGATGTGAATGATCATGTTTGCACTCAAATTATGAGGATGGCTTAAGGAATTTTAAATTTTGATAACTCATTGCTTTGACTGGAGATGAGTGATTTCGGTGGATTTTATTTTTCTGTGTTTAAATTCTTTCCCTTGTACTTACCTTGCTTCAGGTATACTGCAGAGCAGAATGTTCCGGAATTTTCCTGCTGACTTGTTGCGGTCCTTAGAATCAGAGCCTCTGACTGCAAATTTCCACCAGTGGAGCCTCTCCACGATGGTATCATATTAATTATGTAATGAAATCAATGCACTTAGATTAATTATAGGAGTAATTATTTTATTTTTATACTCCAGAATTTTACGAAGAATGAAAAATTAAAGGCGTTTTTCAAAGTACTATCTACAAATACTGATGGCAAGATTGAGTTTATTTCAACAATGGAAGGTATGTCTCTCTACATGTACACTTTTCACATATTATGTTTATTAGTTTTGATTTTATTGTGTGTGTGTGTGTGTGTGTGTGTGTTTTATTGAATAAAATCACAATAACTTTGGGGCCTCAAGATCAAAATGAGGGCAATTTTCGAGATAGGAACTGTGTTTTGTTCATGTTCCAAAGCAGTTGTGGTTTACCTGGATCATCTAGGTAGTGATGGGGTGAAGAAGGGAAGGAAAGAGAGTGATGAAGAAATAGAGACAATGTCCTCTTAAGAAAAAAAAAAAAAAATTAGTGAACTTATTGGGATAACATTGGTTAATAAAATTATAAAGGTTTGAGGTATATAATTCTATAATACATCATCTGTATCTTGTATTGTGTGCTCACCACTCAAAGTCAAGTCTCCTCCAATCATCATTTTCCCCCCCTTTACTCTCTTTTTCCTCCCCCACTTCCTTCCCCATGATCATCCCCACACTGCTGTCTGTGTCTTTGAGTATTTTACTTTTTTTGCCCAATCCCTTCGCCTTTTTCAGCCAGCAGTAATGTGGATTAAGTACTTTGACAGGTTCTCTTCCAGACAAGGAACTAAAGGTGCAACGGACATACAGCAAAATATCTTCCTAAATACATTGCTGAAATGGCGAGAAAATAAGGGTCCTCAGGCCAAAAGCTCCTAAGGGCTGCGTGGAGTATTTGGGTGGGGCCCCTGGAAGAAGGTGATGAGGGAGAGCATCTGGAATCTGGAAGGCAGAGAGCACCCAATGTCTGCCTGGTTTTGAACCAAGGGCCTCTTGTTGTGAGGCGTGCCAGATGACCACTGCACACACCACAGAAACCCGCTGAAGTGGGGTGTTTAAATCAGCATTCCTGGTAATGAGGAGACCCTGAGGCAAAGCTCAGGGCCCCCCTACAGGAAGAGGACCCCATGGAGCAGGACCTGGAGGCTACAGCCTCCATGCATCCTGCCTGCAGAGCTGCAAGGAGACCCGCCCATCTGGAGTCTGAGGCGGGGGTGGTGAACTAGCCTGGAGCATTCAAGCAGGCTTGAGGGTGGCCCGCATCGCATCATACTAACTGGGAAGTTTGGGAAATCACAGCTCAAAAATGTTTGTTTAAAGTTGTCTCAGAGGCTCAGCTATTTTTCTTTCCTCTGATGAGCTAGTAAAGCGAATCATATTACAGATTGTAAAAGGTTGGAAATCAGTGAATTACTGAATTGTGACTTTGAACTGAAATTATTTTGTGTCTGAGAACATGTACAGTTTTACTTTATCTGAGTTAGTGAGTTAAAGTACGTTTACATGGAACATAAAATGTAACATGGTTGTAAATAACATGGTAGATACTCTCACTGCTTACTACTTACCCGTTTGTGTGTTACACGCAGGGTACAAGTATCCGGTGTATGGCGTCCAGTGGCATCCGGAGAAATCTCCTTACGAGTGGGGGCCATTGAAAGGCATTTCCCACGCCCCCAATGCTGTGAAGACGGCATTTTATTTAGCAGAGTTCTTGGTTTCTGAAGGTAATATGTGGGTACATAATCTTATCACTCCATTAGTGTACTTTTGAAGGAAATGCCCTCATCTGAACTTTCATATACTCTTGCTCTATGTAAATGCTTTAAAAACAAAACAAAACAAAAACACAACACACATTTAAAACAATCACCATGAAAGCCCTGAAATTGAGGTATTAGGCATTCAAATAAAACAAGGACAGTGATTTCAATTAATAATACTGTGTGCTCTAAAATGTGCTGAATACTCGAACAACGGTGTAGAGACTGTTGGATTTTTTCCCTTTCTTTCTTGAATACTTTTTCTTTAATATTCTCCCCTACTAGTCTTCTTTTTAGGAATAACACTTTAGTTATAACATTCTCTGAGAATTAGATGTTTGATTTTCAAGGCAATTATATAAACTGAGCATATATACTCATCCTTCTGTGATCAGAGAAAGTTCAGCTTTGCTTGTTTTTTTTTTTTTTTTCATGCTGTGTTTGTGGATAGAATTGAGAATTTGGTTGTAGATGCTTATGTTTTAGTTGAGTGATTCTGGGATAAGACAGAGCCACAAGCACCACTTGCAAGGGGCAGGCATCACTCTGGTGAGGCATGGCCATTGAACCCTTCAGAGAGCCTTGTTGGCGTCTCGCCATGCTTGGCCTAAGTTTTTGGCAACCCTCCTGCCCACACTGAGTTCACTCTGGTTTAGAATTATGTTCAGAGGAAAGGGCAATTTCATGACAAAAATCCCAAGTTAAAAAAAAACATACACACACACAAAAAAAACAGGTCTCTCTTGCGTAGTAGTAGTCCCAAGAAGCATTTTCATGTCTTGTGTGTCGGAGTAAATGAGAACAGGGTGGAGCAGTTGGCTGCAATGTTGTCCCGTGGCAGGGCTATTATCTGTTCCGTATTTCCTAATACTCTTGTTTTAAAACATGCCACAACCGCCTATCGTTACTTTATCTCGATCTTAGGAAACTGTCTGAGCCTTTACCTTCTCACATTCACACTTGACCTCTGCTCCCTTCTCCGTGCCTCTCACAGCTCTGCCTGGCCGGTGGGAACTGCCTCATGGCCCCACCTGACTCACCTTGGCCCGATTCTTCATCCTCTCCCGAAGCTTCTCGATGAAGACAGACTATAAAAACATTACTAACTACAGTTACTAGACTCGACTTCTTGCGTGTTAGACCCTGGCCTGGTTATATTTCTCTCCCGGTCCCTGCATTAAATCCTATATGCAGTAGGCACTTAGTGACGAATGGGGCGTGAGCACCCCCTTTGGTCTGGGTGGGGCAGACGCACAGCTGTGTCAGCAGGCATCTGCTGTACATTAGATACCCCTTTATTTGGGGGACGTTCTATAAGGTATGTTTCCTTTTGGTTACTACTTTCCCACTTAATACTGATGATAGGATGAGATATTATAAAGTAACCTTTAGAAAACTATATCCTATCCTTTTAAAAATTCACATTTTCTTTTTTCTTGCAGCTCGGAAAAACGATCATCATTTTGAATCTGTTGCTGAAGAGGACAAAGCACTGATTTATCAGTTCCATCCTGTCTATAGTGGAAACATTTCTTCATTTCAGCAAGTTTATATATTTAATTGAAAGCTTTCCATATGTTGACAAAAGTTTGAATAATTCTATGATGAAATTGTTTTTAATAACTTGATACTCATGGCAGTAATGGAAAGCCACTGAGATTTTGTCTCTATCTTGTTACTGGCTCTGCATCTTTATTTAGTATATTTGACTATATCACATTTGATAATTAGTGGGACAGATAAACAATCATAGTGTATTTCATGTAAAAGCTTTCTTTTATCTCAAGACTAGAAAAAAATCCATTTATTGAAAATACAGATAATTTATTTTTTTCTGATTGATTCTGGAAATAAACAGCACCCTCTACCCAGACTAACCATCCTTTCTGAAGACTCTTTAAATTCTACCTCCAGTTCACTGCGAGATCTCTCTCTGCTTTGAGTCTCAGGAGTATTCAGGCCCTCAATAAGTACTTGTGATTATGAATGAACTTTTTCCCCCATGGAAAATAAATTTAAAGCTGTACATTTATTTGGGTGCATCCTATCTAATAAAAGGGTGATATGCAGATTAACCATCACTCCACGACAAATATGGCGGCGCCCATAGCTACAAAGAAGGCAGCGTGGGCCAGAGCCAGGGAACTGGTAGAGCAGGCGGGAGGCTTGGCTTCCTTTGTCGCCTACTCGTTTAGGCCCGCTGCTGAGGGAGCTATGCAGGTAGTGCAGTGGGGAGACATGCCGGGAGTGAGCAAGGTTCCCTGTCTGGGGGTTCCAAATCTGCCATTGGCTCCTCTCACCACTGATTCCCCTCCTCACAGGTATTCTCCAGACAAAAGCCATTCTGTGTAAATATGTCATGTCCTCATGGGTGACTCCTAAACCAAATGGGTGTCACATCTGGGCAACCTAAGTCCCGTTAGAAAAAGGTCCTGGGAGGAGGGATTTAGGAATCAGGAAGCCATTGTGACCTGCTCCGTCTCTGGAACTGCTGTCAAACACAGGCAGTCTGAGACCCTCCCAAACACCACCTAAGCTAAACCTGAGAACCAAGATATGTTCAAGGCCCAAAGCTGACGGGGGTAAGGGGACAGGGGAGCAAAGCATGCAGAACAGCCAACTCAACCAAAGACGCAGGAGCCTAAGATAATGCAGAGAAGTGTCCTGGCCACTGATGCTCTCCGGTAGACGTGGTGCCCACATCCAGCTGAGGGGCGGGGGTGTGTATGTGCAGAATTTAAGGCCGCCGGCAGGCTGAAAAGCCAAAGCATGCCTAAGGATTTTTTTGTACATGTCCCACAGTGGAGAAGCAGAGTCAGAATCAAGAAGCGAAGTCTTACCTCAGCGCTGGGGTGTTTAAAAGTATCTGAAAATAGCAGTTCCATCACCGAGTCCGCTGCCATGTTTGCTATGGACAGGAGGCGCGAAGGGGACTTCTAGGCAGCTCTGCAACCTCAGGGGCAACAGCAGCTCAGGATTGGGAGAGACCGCAGCACTTTGGTGTCCAAAGAGCTTGTGTCACAAACCTTGGCCTATCCGGAAGCTGCTGGCTCTGCCTTCTCCAGCATGTTGGAGAAAGGCTGAGAGAGAAGAGACCGATATGGTGGCTCCTGTGGTCCAAATCCTGTCGTCATCTCTGTTACCTAGCCTCCAGGACAGCCTCAATACCAGTGCAGAGGAGGCTTGGAGAGGGTAGTGGTGAGGAGAATGCTTCTGACTCTGGATAACCAGTGAAACTGCTGTCAAGAGCCTTTCTAGGACTGGCAGGAAAGCAATGAGGGAAGAAGAATGTCTCAAAATGAAAACGTTGGATTTTATTTTTCTCATCAGCAAAATGTGAATATTACCTAAACCATAGACTTTGTGAGAATCCTAATAAAAGAGTAATATGCAAATTATGCCACCAGCCATGCCTACCAGCCAATCAGAGCAAGTATGTAAATAAACCCAACCAAGATGGATACAGCCACAGAGAGCAGGGGGGAGGCTTGGGTGTCCCCGGCAACAGAGGAAGCCAAGCTTTCCACCTACCCTTGCCCGGCCTAGACCTCCATTCAAGGCTACAAAGTTTCAATTATAGAAGGTAAACAAATTCCAACAGAAATGGCTGCCGCCATGGAGCAAGCAGAAGGCTTGGCTTTGTTCCATGCTACAAAGTTTCAATTGTAGAAGATACATAAATCCCAGATACCAGGGCCTCTGCTTGGGTTGCCAGGGGTGTGTGGCAAGCTTGCAAACCACCACAGGCCCCTTGCCCAGGCCACCCCACACTCCATGGGAACACCCTGATCCGGGACTCCCTTCAGGGCAAACCAGCTGGCCCTCACTCATGCACCAGGCCTCTATCCTATCTAATAAAAGAGTAATACGCAGATTGACCATCACTCCAACACACAAGATGGTCCCATGTGGTCAAAGATCCTGCCCCCATGTGGATACAAGATGGCCACCACAAGATGGTCAGCAGGGGAGGGCAGTTGAGAGGGACCAAGCCTGCAAGGGAGGGAAGTTGTGGGCAGTTGGGCAAGCAGGGGAAGGCAGTTGGGAGGGACCAGGTCTTCAAGGGAGGGCAGTTGGGGCAATCAAGCCTGCAGGGGAGGGTAGTTAGGGGTGACCAGGCTGGCAGAGGAGGGAAGTTGGGGGTGACTAGGCCTCCAGGGGAGGGTTCAGGTTGGGCTGAGGGACACCTCCTTACACCAGTGCATGCATTTCATGCACTGGGCCTCTAGTTTTAATCTATTTGTCATCCTGTGCTTCCCTCTCCCATCCTTCACTGTCTCATATTCTCATAAACTCTGAAATTAAATTCCTTGAGGACAGCCAAGCAGCTGGAAGAGAGGGGATTTTTGGAGCTGCTTCTGACAGTGTTTATACGCCTGTTCTCCTTGGTCCTCTACAGCTGCTGCTAGAGACGTGGAAAGGTGGAAAACAGAAAGAATGCTGGGGCAGGAGGCTGGTGGAGGTTATTGAATGATTTTCTGTATAAAAGGTAACAATACTCTGAAGATACCAAGATAAACTCTAAGCTTTGGGCATTAAGGATAGCAGAACATAGAAATTGAAAGGGATTAACACATTCAGCTAAAAAGGACCTTGATAAAAGTGTGGTACAGCTAGTTTCTGTCCATAAGCATGAAGATTTCTGTTTGTCTAATGTGCCATTTCTGGCTAATTTCGTGTCTCCACACTAGAAAAAGGTGGCAACACTGTTATTATTCATATTGCAAGGGCTCTTTCCAACCTCTTGAAATATTGTAGATCTGCTTGTCTCTGAAGTTCCCTAATAACATAATCACTCATGATGCTGTATCACCCTTCCTTCTGCCCCAGAATACTGGCTTCTAATTGCCCCCAAAGTTCTCACTGTGCCATTGGTGATGGCCACAGATGTAAGAAAATGGGACCCGTCATTTGTTTTTTATTTGTTAAGTCTCTCCCCCCCCCCCCCCCCATTTTCCCAATCATGTATATTTTTGAAGACTTTACACTGGGATCACTTTCAAAGTTGCCAACACTCCTGTTTTCCACACACCACCACCTGCAGGAAGGCTATGCAGAGGCCTGAGGGCAAGTGAGAAATTCTGGAATCAGGTCTACTGGAGATCCACCACTGACCCTGGGCTTGAGCCACATATGTGGGCCCATGCGCTGGCTCTTAACTCCCTACTGTAGTGTCACCCCCGGTTTACAGCACCCAAAGGCAGTGATGTGGCAACACCCATCTTTTAGCTCCCATGCCTCCAGCTCCAGCCACTGGCACCCAAGTATTCAGTCCTTCCACGGGCTCCACATCATGTGCAGGCAGTCCCCCAGGGCTGGCCATCCACCTCCTCCCAGGGTTCACCAGCAAGCACTTCTAGTCCATGCCCTCTCTTGCCCCCGTTGATGTAACAAGGTCAGCCTGCCTTGGAGCAGTCTTATGCCAAGCTAAACAAGGAACAGAGGGTTAGACATCCCCTGTCTGGATGGGACTTGAGGGCAGAGCCTGTTACTCATTTCTATTAAGATATTTCTTTTTAAAAAATATATTTTATTGATTTTTTACAGAGAGGAAGAGAGGGATAGAGAGTTAGAAACATCGATGAGAGAGAATCATCGATCAGTTGCCTCTTTCACACCTCCTACTGGGGATGTGCCCGCAACCAAGGTACATGCCCTTGACCAGAATCGAACCTGGGACCTTTCAGTCCGCAGGTCGATGCTCTATCTACTGAGCCAAACTGGTTTCGGCAAGAAGAAGATATTTCTGAGTGCCCACATGTGTATGTAATTTGTCTGGCAGAAGATGTTCTATGAAGGGATATTGGCTCTCCATTTCCCCACTGCAGAGCAGGACATTCTCAATGCCTTGTCAGGCTGAGTTTCCATGGTTGGAGTGGGGTTAGGATGGTCCTACAGCTTCTAAAAGCACAGGGATAAGTCCCACTAGAACATTCAGGTGCAGAACGTGGCCCATAGTAGGCCATTAGTAAGTGGCCTCCCCTCATTTCCTCTCCCTCCTCCACAATAATGAAACAGCCCAACATACATGCTGTTACCTATCAGAAGAGCAAGAAAAGATACCATTTATACGAAAAGAATTGTGCAAAAAGGGTCTTTTGCTCCTTAGAAACAGAATATTTTTTTTTTGTTACTAGCTTGTAATTTTATTCCACTTACTTTTCTAAAAGGAATTAAGTTTTTATTCCATATAACATTTTCATTCCAATAGTGTGGTTTAAAATTAAATCTTGCAGTAATGAGTCAGGAACACTAGATGTCAGGAGAGAACCAGCTAAACCCAATGTTTAGTGTTTATTAATCACTTAGAACTTAGAGGCTGTCAGAAACTTAAAGAACATCTAATAGTATAATCATTATATTTACTTAAATACTAATGGTTTATTGAATTATTATGTTGTGGATCATTAAAAAATACTAATGGTTGTATAAACAGATTTACACTTAATACTAGATGCTTTCTATTCTGATCTATGAGGAGGCCCTAAAAGACTTGATACAAAGAAAGGAAGCAAACAATTTTAATCATATTTTAAGGGCCAGGTACTTTTATATACATTTGTG